CCAGGGATGCTTGAGTCTTGTGTTCAAGCACAGGTTCACTTGCAGTTCTCTGCGAGCCCCCTTTGTAGATGCGTGTCCTTTGAAGGGCTGTTAATTTAATATCTTTCTCTGTGCAGCAGCTGGAACAAATGGTCCCCCAGCTCCAGTGGGAGCTCCCAGCTGCCCGCCTCACCCGGCTCTGACCTACAGGCATTTTTGCCGTTGCTGTCTCAGGCTTTTTATAGTTTTTGCACGCTTGTTGCATACAGGATACCTTACAGGTGCAGGCCTTCTCTGACGCGTTAGCTGGTGTTTGGAGGAGGGTTTGAGTTCTGTGTTTTGCTGGTAGTAGTTTTGTTTTTCTTCAGAAACATTTAAAAATGAGGGAAAATTTCCTGAATTCAGGCCAAATCCAATATGCCGGGGTTTGCCATCGAATCACCAGAGATTAATTTGAACTGTCTCAAAGCGTACTTCTCAGGTGAGAGCCGAGGCGCATGTTTAAAACGGTGAGTAGCTCTGTAAATCCAGGTACAGCGTTGCCACACAGAGTACTTCAGGGGTTACCCAACCGCACGGCAGCAGCTATGCCAATGCCATGGCTGGGGGATTTCTTCTCCCTATCCTTGCCCTGCACCAAATGCCTGAGTACAGTTCAAGCTTTACCATTTGCAGACCATGACTGTGGTTTGCAATGGAAACATTTGCTCTTGTACCAACTTGGGTGTTTTTTTCTGCCCTGTTGTAACACAGCAATACTTTTAAAGCAGTGTCCAGTGCATGGTGAAGTGCCTGCTGGAAGTGCCGATTGCTCTGTCAGGGTCCTCTTCCCTGCAAGCTCTTACCCTTGGCTCACCATCGTTTCATTAGGGATATAGCATCCTACCATTAACTGGCCAAATAATTGCTGTTTCTATCATATGTGTATTTGCCCAGCTCTGCCTGGTTGCCCTATTGGTGTCCCTGCTGGGGACTGTTCCCTGCCTGTGCTGCCTCACCTCCATCTGAGCACATGCTAGGGACAAACAAAAGATACCGACCGTGAAGGCCAAACTGATGAGCAAACATCCAAACAGAAGTGCCCAAGGAGGGCTAAAGAGAGGTCCCATGAGCAAGTGAGTTCCTAGAGGATTTGTCCCTGCACATGGCAGGAGGGTTGGAAATAGATGATCTTAAGGTCCTTTCCAACTCACACCATTCTGTGATTCTATGCTGCCATAGGCTGTGCAGTGGGACTGGATCCCTCATGGGCCAGCAGCCTCTGAGAAGGAGGCCACCAAGGTTTGGTCACTTGTGAGCAATTGTCCCTTTGAGCTGGCTCAGGTGATGCCTTTGTCATTAACATTTAATGTCATAACAGACTGTGAGTTGTGCATGACAAGGTGCCTTATAGTGTAACAGAAGGTCTTCAGGTTTGTAACCTGCAGGTCTTCATTTTTAGTTATTTATTTTTTCCAAATGGCAAATCTTGAGCTAGGCTGTATGTTTCTAGAAGTTACTTAGGTACCAAAATACTATGTTTCAGTGGATGGGGATAATTTTTATACCGAAATATTGAAGAATCTTATGTAGGACAATGGCTAATTATGTAACTGTCTTGTTGAAGGCATGTAGACCGATTGGGTTTCTCAGAAGATTTTAAGGTTGTGTGGAGGAGAAAAGGTGCTTGGCAATCCATGCCTATCTTAAAGGTAAATGTCACCAGTGTGCCAGGGAGAGTGGTAGTGGTTGATGGCTTGGTTAGCAGGTGCTGAGCGAAGCATGGGGGACCAAGTTCCTCCTGCGTGGAGATCACGCTGACCCAGACTGGTGATCCCTGGGTTCAGGTCTCTGTCAGTTGCTCAAGTGTTTCTGCAGGTGTATGCACCATTTTCAGAGGATTAGGGAAATACGTAGTAGGGATGGCATGTTTGTGGGGGGAGGAGGAAGTCTATGGGCAAAGACACTGGGCTGCAGTAGGAGTCTAATCAGCACTTTCTTGTACCTCAGTGAGAGGTAGGATTTGGCTGTGTCGTGCAGCCCTGAAAAGCCTTTGGGGCAGTAATGCCTGTTGTGAGTAGTAGGTGCTAGAAGGAGCTTCAGCATTGTTCCTAGTCCAGATATCCCAAGGGTGAAGGGTACAGGCACCCATGGGACCAGATGGTATGTGTGGAGTCAGTCTGCTCCTCCCCTGACCCTGGCCTCCGGGTGGGAGGGCAACGAGATGGGTATCCAGGTCTGCATACAGGATCTTGGTCTCCTGCCCTGAACCCTCTCTGGGAGGAGGGCCCAGACAACCTGCCTGGGTTGATGTGTAGGGCAGGTGACATAACAGAACTGATTTAGTCTGTAGGGCATTTGCAAAACATGTCATCAGGCCTTTCTCATCCTGGTTTCATTCTGCACATGTTGCCTTGTGTTTTCTCCCCATCAATCCCTGTGGTCATCTTGGTGGGACCACAGGGAAAGGAAAGGCTCAGCCTGTGCCCCTGTTTGGAGGCAGACCTGGGTGGCCAGCAGAATTTAGCTGCCGGAGCTCCATAGGTCCTCCCAAAGCGGTGTGGGACAGGCAGTGGGGGAGAGATTATTATAATGATTGTTGTTATTGATGTTGTTATTATTAATATTATTTATTGTTACTATTTTCCCCCCATTTCTGGCTCTGCAGACCCCCAAATGCTCTTAATGGAGATGCACCCCGTTTATATGTTAATTTTAAGCCTGCTGACAAGCGGTTTGCTTTTCTCCTGACTTCTCACGGTTCCTTCGCCCGTTGAAAGCCGCTGCCGTGGGCTTAGGGGATAAGGTGCTGAGAATTAGAAAAGAAAATAAAATCTCCAGGATGCTGGCGAGCGAGGGGGCATGGGGATTGGCTTGCTCAAAGTACAAACGGATGATGTCTGAAAGCGAGTAACCCTGATACCAGGGGCGTGCATGACAATTGCATCCAACATAATACAGAATGTTAATTACTAAATTCCGAGAAATTAATGCTGATTAGCAGCTGCGTGTGTGTGACCTAAATACATCTATTGCTTGATCTTGATTCCTAATATATAGTTTATTGTTGATAAAGCAATTGCTGAATGGTGGGCTGGCCCTCAAGCCTTGTAGTGAAAGACTAAGGCCTGATTTGTAAATCATATGAAATTTGTTGGCATGTGTTTTTTGTTGAATTTATAGAGACAAGGAAGATGAACAGCCATCTGAGCTATCCCCTTTACAACTCAACTAACAGATATTATTGAGAATTCATATTGCTTTTATTATTTGGTCACAAAAATGGACCTAATGCTTGTTGGCTTTAAAACACCTACGAGCGCCGCTTTCTCTCTCCATCTTGCAAAATATAAGACAAGGCCGAAGCTTAAATTAAAATCCTCAGGTTCTTATCTCTTTCCCACAGGAAAGCAAATCTGTGTTGAAAACCGTAAAATTAAGAGGAGAGCAAGGATAGCATAATTTAGCAAAAATTCATGGCACCAGATTCTGAGCTGTATGACTGGAGGGATAGGTCAGACATTAAGAAGATACTGCCTGCTAATGCAAGTTCCTTAAGGTGGTGCTCTGGAAACTAAGGCAAGCAGAAAATGCTGCACTGGTTCCCATTTGCTCCCTTTCCTCTACTCCTACCGGCCTTAACAATAAATTGAATTGTCCATTTAGTAACCCTTCTGATTCCAGAAGTCCAGAAAAATCCCAGGTTTGTACTTGGGAGTATTGTCCTTACATCTGTTTATGCTGGGATTTCGGTAGTGAACTCAAAGAAAACGAATTTCATTGGGCTCTTGATTTGTTTTCTTAATTCCTTATATTTGACAGGCTGTCCTTCCTGAGTTTTATCAGCATTTCTGTCTGAAGGACAACTTTTTTTTGTCCCCCCCTTTAGATTTTAATTAACACCTTTTTGTGCCATAATTAATTTTGCTAGGGGCAGATTAGACTGCTGGGGTACAAATGAGGAGTTCCTGTTACACGTTGGCACCATTGCCATGGCTTGTTCCACCATGGGAAGAACAGCTTGTGTTTCAAGTAGTGTTAATACAGCAGCATTTTGTGGGGACAAACAAGTCCTCTTGTCTTGCAGCTTTGATCAAAGAGTGTGATTTTGGGTGGTATCCCTCCGTCATGCTGAGTGACCCCTCCCCTGTACCTCTGCAGGAAATGCTGATGGGAAGTGTGCGTATTGGCCTGAATGGACATCTCCTTACAGCACCCGTTTTGGGACCCTCTTGGGCATTTGTAGTGCTTTGATTGCCCCTTGGCATGATGTGGCGAGAGGCCTCCCAGCTGTCCCTGGGTGTTCAGAGGGTCTCCTCCCTAACTGACCGCCCTAAGGCCACTGCCAGCTGCTTATGTGTGAAGTCAGGCTTTTAAGGGTGTTTTTCCAGTTATGTGATAAACAGACCAAGAGATTTCAACCAGAGTTTGTAAAATTGTACGGGAAAAAAAACACCATACTCTTTGGGAATGGTGGGGGCTTGTTCCCGCTGTGCTGTGCAGTGACCGTGCAAGAAAGCAGTGGAGAGGAGGAGTGAAGATGATGAAGCTCATGTTGCTCTTAAGGATGAAGATATGGCAAACCTGCACTTTAAACCTTTGGGTATTTTTAAGGCTGATCCCACAACCAAAGGGTTTCTTCAGCACTGCTGCTGGCTTTGCCAACCTTCTTTCACAGCCCTTGGTGTGCGGTGTGGTGCTCCTCCCGCCCTATGGCTCTCTGTCCAATGCTTCCCCCACCCCGTTTCCCTTTCTTCCAAATGCCTTTCCTCCTGTTCCCGGCCCCTGCCCATTTCTACACACTTCCTCAGTGCCCTCATCCCTCCTCAGGTGCCAGTGGTTCCAGGATGCTGATTCTAGCAGCAAACCTGGTTGCCATCCGCCAGCCCCAGTGTCATCTCTGTCCATCTGTTCCCTCTGCTTTCAGTAATGCAGATATGTAAAATTGCATTTTGGGAGTGTTTGTTGGTTGTTTGGATGGTTTTTTTAATGCAGAAAGCCCAACCTCGCTGACACAGTTTAATTTCCTTCTTCTCTTGCAGTCAAACAAGGTGCCAGTGGTACAGCCTTCTCATGCGGTTCACCCTCTCACCCCTCTTATCACCTACAGCGATGAGCACTTTTCCCCAGGGTCGCACCCATCTCACATCCCCTCTGACGTCAACTCCAAACAAGGTGAGCCTGTCCTCTGCCAGTGTGGTGGGGGTGCAGAGTGGTCTGTGCCCTCGTGCTGCTGATTGATAGAGCTTTTATTGTAGCAGTTTAGAGGGAGGGTTCCAGGTGTGTGTGCCTGCTTTCAGAGATGGTGATTCTGACATGATGCTGATATTTAACTTGGCTGTTTAAATCTTGCTGTCTTGAATGTGATAATTCGGGCTTGCTTTACTCATCAAAATCTTTTAAAATCTCAACAAGCAGCAGCCAGTCCTTACCATCCTCTGTGGTGCCCAAGGCTTGCAGTGTGTAGACGCAGAAACGTCAGTCGTAGAATCATAGATTGTTTTGGGTTGGAAAGGACCTTAAGATCATCTAGTTCTAACCCCCCTGCCATGGGCAGGGACACCTCCCACTAGACCATGTCACCCAAGGCTCTGTCCAGCCTGGCCTTGAACACCTCCAGGGATGGAGCATTTACAGCTTCTTTGGGCAGCCCATTCCGGTGCCTCACCACCAAACAAAGCTCCATAGATCCTCAACTTGGCATGTCAGGCCAGCCCCTCTCCAGGTTGGTCTTCAGGCCCCTGGGGAAGCAGCCTCCAAGGTGCCAAGCCCAGCCTGTGCTGAGAGCTCTTGCCCTGGTGAGCCCAGGGGTTTTCTGGGGAGGGTGTGCTTGTTAGGCAATACTAAGGAGGAGCAGGAAGGGAACATGATGGTTGTTGGGGAGGTGCAAGGGGAGGACTGACTGACCCTGGTTGGCATGGGTCTTAGCTGGGGTTTGGGTTAGAGCCTGAGGAGGAAAAGCTTACGCAGGAGAGCTGGTAGCCAAGAGGGAAGGAGAAGGAGCAGAGGGTTTACAGAGGCATTTACTGTAGTTGGGACATCTGTGCATGGATGTGAAGTCTGTTGGTGGCAAGACTGGTCCTGGAGGGTGTCTCTCCCTGCCTCTTCCAGCACTTGCATGTCCCACCACATGGCGTGACACCTAGTTGACAAGATCATGAAGCTCTGCTTTACCTGGGCACACATCCACATGCACAGTTGTCCCATTTTTCTGGAGTGGTTTCCAGCCACCATGACTGAGGAAAGAGGCTTTTTTTAGTTCTGACTTTCCCTGAATGCCCTGGTTCTTATTTTGGCCTTCCTATGCAGATAATAACATGGGCTACATTCAGAAGATACCATGGCCTTGTGGCTGTCTGTGTGTTTTGCTTTTTGTTGGTTAGTTTGTTGGGGGTTTTTAGGGAGGGAGAATGAAAAAAAAAACCTACTCTGCCTGGAAAGCCTGGCCTGTAAATACATGTGTAATATAATTTTCAGAGTTGGAAGAAGCAAATGGAGATGTCCTGTCCTCATTTGTCTTCCTCCTTTGTTTAAGTAAGTGCCGAGGAGAAGGATGGCTATTCATGCTCACTCCTTGAAATCCCAGGGGTGCTGCACATTAGAGAAAGGGATTTCCACCTCTTGCCCAAGCTGGCTGCAGTGTCTGGGGCACACCCCACTGCTGCAGTTCATGAGCTCAAGAGGTTTTCACCTACTGCATGATGGGTTTGCCCCCCTGCACCAATGTTCTTTGCCTTTACCCCGGCCTACGTTTGTCCTTCCTGTCCTGCAGGCCCAAACTGGACACTTGGTTTGTTTTTTCTGATGGTTTTCGTCTCTTCTGCCCTTTCTCACCCTCTCCCTTGCCCAGCCCCAGTGCATGCCACCACTCACATCCCCACTCCTGAAGGTCTCCAAGCCTGGCAAGGGGCTCTGCCTGGGGCCAGTCAGGGGTATCTCTGGTGCCAAGCTTGTGTCCCTCTGGTGTTCCTGAAGGGGCTTTTGATTCCTTTGCTCAGTGTCTAGTGAAGATGGGGATGGATAATGTGGGATGGAGACTTCTGGTTGTGGCTGTGGCTGTCTCCTTGATGTGTGTGGTCCTTCCAGACTCCCCGCTTCTTCGCCGCTGGCGTGTGGGAGCAGCTCCAGTGAAGTGGCCCCAGTTGCTGCAAAGAGAGGATTTTTTTATTTCCCTTGGGTCCTCTGCCAAATACCTCCAACCATTGTTTCTGTCCTCACCTCCCACTGTGGGTCTGGAATGAGGCACTGCCCTGGCACCCTAGCCCTGATGCCAGGGTGCCTTCCTCTCACCAAAATCCCCCTGCCTGCAGCACTGCTCCTTGCACCTCAGGCACTTTGGAATGGACACACAGCCACTGCCTTGCTGAAGGTGGTCACTTCTTTCTTTCCCCTTCTTCTTTCTCCCCCTTCTCCCCCCTCCCTTTATGTTTTCCTTAACCCTCTCATGCACAAGAACTTGCTCTGGAGAGCATTGGCTTTTCAATAGCTGCATGTGTTCCTGCTGGGCATTAGGTAGCGGGTAGCCCCTCATAAGGGACCAGAAGTTTTATTCTAGCAACAATCACTGTGTGTTAGTGCAGAGAGAGCAGCATTGTCTCCTTGGGTCAGAAATGTGGGTTTGGGGGAAGGAACAGCCCAGCTCCCTGTGCAGAACATGGTCTGGCAGGGGCCAGGTCATGTTAGCACTCCCAGGAGCATCAACCGTCACTAGAGATGAGATGCTGTGCTTGGTTTTCACCTTTGCTCTTGTTGTGTTTTGGTTTTCTCTAAACTGCTCTGAAGGAGCATTCCCTCTCACATAAAAACCCAGGGATACGTAAAGTGTTCCCTCTCCTGTCAGCCACCAGCTGGTTTTTAACACCTTTGAGAAGACAGCTGGACAGAAATCTGATCCTCAGCCAGGTTGTGGTCCCAGGTCTGGGCATTAAGCGATTTTGAGACAGTAACACTGCCAGTATTTTTTCCCGTCCTTTCCTGGACACAGTCCTGAAGGGTGTTCTTCAAATCTTGTAATTAAATTCAGAAGATTTAAATACAGACTGGGGGTGGGGAATAAATCGGTAGCATCAATCTATAAACCAAGTCTCAAGGTAGCACACACTCAGTCTTGGACCTTTGGAGTGTCACCACATAAATATTTAATGCCCTTTTAAAGCAGCTGATTGAACATGTGAAGTAGACTTAACAATTCCTTCTGCTTCAGCCCCCTCTTCCCCAAACACATTTAAATAAACTGATGTCTTTCTGGCCTCTGCAACTGTAATTCCACGTCTCCGGGGGGCACAAGGTTTAGGTGAAGAATGGAGACCACAGACCCTTTTGGGACAAGGATTAGCTTTAATCTTGAGGTGATTCTTGCAGTTGTAGGACTCTGTGTTCTGGGGAATGTGAGCCGATGGATCATTCCTGATGGGACTCTTATTTTTCCGTGAAATACTACCAACGCAAAACAGATTGACCTTGGAGCCCACAGGAGTCAACTTGATGAAGAGCTTAGTTGGAACTGGAGTGACAATTGGAAGCCAAATGAATCATATCAAGTGTGACCATTATGGGCCTGAAAATGATTCTTAATTAACCACTGATCCTCCATGGTAGCAAGTTTCCAAAATCTGTGAATCCATAAGGGAACCCGTGAAAATGTACAAGTAGCAATTTACCTAATCTAATAGCTCTGCTGTGCTGCCTCTTTGACAACGCTTTATTTTCTTCTTGTTTCATGCTGTGTTAGAAGAGGTCTTCAGGATCCAGCTGGGTTTGGTGAAACCATTGGCAGGACAGTATTGCCTAACGCACTTTTCAGGAGATCTAAACTTGCACCAGTACTGGCCTGTACATTTATTTCCTCCTTCCACTTTGTTTTTTCCAGTATTTCACTTTAAACTGCAATATTGTGTGCAAGTTATTTATTGTTTTAAAGGTGACACGGGTAGCCTTTTGCTTTTAACACTAACCAGGAAGGTGGTTAGTTCTTATCCAGAGCCCTAATTCCATCACAGCTTTGGCTGTGTTAGCTGTGAACTGAAGCTCACATGTAGTATTCTGAGGGGAAAGTCATTCATTCTTCTGTGCTCTTTAACAGGCATGTCCAGGCATCCTCCAGCTCCTGATCTCCCTACCTTCTATCCCTTGTCACCAGGGGGGGTTGGACAGATAACACCACCTCTTGGCTGGTAAGATCTTTTAGCTTCTTTTCAGACAAAGGCTCATGTTCACACCATTTCCTGTTGTTGAATCAGTTGCAGCCTTTACAAAATCAGAATGTTGCTGCAGTAAGAAATTACTATGTTATTTTAGTTGAAAAGATCAAAAAATGATGATCTTTGAAATGAATTGAATCTGGGTTTTGAACACGTACAGAAATTGAAGTGTGTAGATTTCACTTTGAAGTCGATATATTTCTTATGGCTCAGATTTGTGGCTCTTGGCATTTGGAAAGATAGCAGAAAACACTTCTCAAGGAATTAAATGTGATTTTTTTAATAAACAAAATTGCAATTACTGAGGGGAGGGGAGGTGAGAAAGAACTTTGAAGTGTGTGTGAGGGGGGAAATCCACCCAAATGGATAACAAACTTCTGTAGTTGCTGCTTTTTACACTTTCTACATGGAGGGAAGCCTCTGTCATTGGGAGATTTTGCTGCTCTTGCTAATACTAGCACTCTCGGGTTCTCTCTCTGCCACTCAGGGTGTCATTTTCCTTTAGGAGGAAACACATGGTATTTTCAGAGTAATTGATTTGCCAGGATGCTTCACGTCTACTTGGGGTAGAGAGGTACTTGCCTTCAATGCTGCCGAAGCAGGGAATAAGGAAACTCTGCAACAATTTCAGTGCTTTTGAATCTGTATCGTGACTTGTCTGTGCCCAAGTGATGCGGGGGGGGGGTATTTTTTGATGTGTTTATGGGAGGGGAACATGATCCAGGTGACGACAAGCACAGAAAGTAGAGAGCAGAAGATGATGAAATGCTGTATTGCTGGCAAACCTTTCAGGAAGTGCCGCATGCCTTTTTGCAGCAAATTATTATCAGAAACCAAACTAAAATACGGAAGTATCTGACCCTGTTTTTTAAAATAATATCCCCCCCCACCCTGTCCTCCCCATTCATTGCTGCTCAACTCAGTCTCCACCTCCACCACCAGGCAGTTCCTGGCAGGCATTTTCCAGATGTGGTCAGTCATTTCTGAATGGCTTCTTGATACAGAGGCTGGGGGGATGGAAGAGGGAAAAGAAAAAGGAGACACAAGATCTGATATTATAAGACACGTTCAGCAGGACATAGCCACCGTCCCTTATGCTGTACAGCTTCCAGCTGCCTTCTGTGCAGTGGCACTGCTGAGACTTCCACTATTTTCTTTTACCTTTTTTTTTCCCCTTCCCTTTAAGCACTGCTCATTTCCAGTAATGTAATCCAAATGTGAAACCTGTATTCTGAACCAATATCCCTTTTTTTCCCCTTTGAAAACTGATCTGCCAGTCAATTTGTAACTGATTGAATAGGATTGATGTGTGCAGTGATCTTTCTGGGCTATTTCAGGTATTTGGGCTGAACTGGCATTTGTTTGCATTATCATAGCATGCTACTTCAGGGTGTTAATTGTAGTTGTGACCTGAACCACTGCTAACTGAAAGTAACCAAAATCCAGTGATGATGATAAAAATTAGAGAGTCCAAATGACAGGCTGGTGACAAAATATTCCATATATATGGGAGAATAAGGTAAGAATTTCACATAAGCATGGATTGCAGAGTTTGCTCTTGAAGTAGTTAAGATGGACTTGTGCTGCTGTAGGCTTCTAGGTGATTGTGGTTGGGTTTTGTGTTTTGGTTTTGCTAATCAAATAAACTTCCACTTTCTTAGAAAAGCTGCCCACTTGTACTTCACTATAGCAGATGCAAATGGGAGAGTCCCAAGTTTTCAAAGGCTTAGAAAACCTTTTGAACAGTTTTATTAGCTTAGTAATTCACAGTCTGGTGTTCTTGCACTGATCTACAGTAGAACTGTTTGGAATAAGATACTTCTTTCCTAAGAGCTAGTTAACCAAATCTAATTCCAGTGCTTTTAAAACTAGGTGAGAGAGGGATAGAGACAGAGGAGTGTGCATGCGGGGGTGTGTGTGCACTTGTGCTTTGGGAGAGGAAGACTGGTTGTTTTGCTTTCCTCCCCAGTGGCAGCCTGGATTGGCAATCTTTCAAAAGCAAGGGAGAAAGTCCAAAGCATTCAAGTACTCGTTATCTTTGAATACAGCAGAACTCTTGAAAGTTTTACCTATTACTATTTATTTGTGACTGGTAGTGAGTTCCCATCAAGTGCTTGTAACTCTAGAGTAACTATTGAATACCGTATCATATGATTGATGGGTTCCTTTCTTCTGTGACCTCAGGCAAGGTCAGCCTGTATATCCCATCTCGAGTGGATTCAGGCAGCCCTATCCATCCTCACTCTCAGTCGACCCTTCCATGTCCAGGTAGGTGTAGGAGGTGAATGACTGACTGGGGAGTAACTGCTGGCATTAGAGGGCAAGTTGCTCTTCTGCTTGCATCTTGGTCTGCCTTTGCTTGCTTTTCAGTCAGCTAAAACTTTATGCACATTTTTTTATTTAACTTATTTTGTGTATATACAGTTTGCCTGGATCCCACACTGGTCTCATTCAGCATTTTCTTGTCAGTCTCTGAAGTACTGCAATTAGGAGCACCAGTGAATTGTCAACAATTAATTGAGCTGTTTCAATTGAAATGAGTCGTTAGTTCATTTCTAGATATAACATACAGCGTGCATCCTTGAGTTTTGCTCATACAAGTATGCAACCAGGTGGATTGTCACTCTAGTCTGCGTTCTGTAGTTCTAATTTCAAAGTTGTTGGTAATTAGTCTTGAATCATTTAGGTATCGCTCCGTGTTGAAACTTGCTCGCAAGTGGGTGTTTCATAGCCCAAAGCCACTAATGGCAGGGGATGCCAGCACAGTGTGTTTGTACTGGTGTGTGAATCAGGCACTGTGTCTTTGTGTCTAAGTGCAAGCAAGCAATGCTAACTGAGACTTGGCCACAACACACTCCAGACCTCCTCTCCTCTGCTTTTTTGCTTTTACTCTAAAGACAGCTTCTACATCCTGTGCTTGGTGTACACAAGGTTGCAATGTACCATTCTTGGGTTGTGTTTTTTTTTGTGTGTGACTTGTAGAAGACACATCCTCTTGCACGGGGATTTAAGACAAGCCACTTGATAAGTGATGGGTTCTCTTGCTTCTGTTTGTGTGGGCTCCTTTGGTTTATCTCTGTTCCTTCACTTCTTTACAGGGGAATGATAAGCATGTGCCTATCAGGGTGATCGGGAAGAAAACCAATTCTTTCTCCATGATAAAATGACTTGCTTTGGTTACTGGGCTTTGTGTTTGCTTTATTTTGATGACATGAAGGAAAAGGGCAAAGGGACTAAGAAATGGAGAAAGGAGAGGCTGGATGCCATTCCTTAACCTGCACTCATTCAGCAAATCTTTGTAGTGCAAGCTTGCTTCTGATGTTAATGGTACTTTCCACCAAAATAAAATAAAACACAAAATGAAGCATGCAGGTTTTCTGCTGCACTTGACCTTGCAATGCTCAGCACCTTCAAAATCTGTCTCAGGTAACCTCAAGGATGACCTGGATTAGTTGGGTGAGATGACTGAGTTAGTGGTACTTTGGTTTTCTTTTCCATTTTCCTTCTTGTACAAAGCTTTATTTAGGACAAAATTGTCTCCCTTCCATCCCCCCAGATGCAGGGGGGGATGCAGTATTTTTAAGATTTATTGTTATTTTAAGCATTTCAGGCAAGGATAGTGAGTTAGGTGAAGTGATGTTAAAACCTTTTGGCTTAACTACCTTGAAAAGTAGGAGATTCGTCAGAGAGCCACCAGGGACTTCTTGAAAAGGCTCCTCTTCCATTTTATTTGTTTCTGCATGGCAGTTCCCTCCTTTGCCTTGGCTGGTGGTGGATATTTTGAAAATGTTTATATCTTGGTGTGGAAATACAGCTTTTGGTTAAGAAGTGCGTATTTTTATTGCTAGTCAGCGCAACAGTACATCCATTAAACCTCATGTTTGCATTGCTAAAACTGTTTGCCTGAAAGGTAATAAAATAACTTCTTTACAATCAGACTGATCTGTTTGTTTGCTTGTTTTTCTTCAATAAACGGGCTACAATGCACAAATCTTAGCCAAATATTTTTCATGCTCTCTTGAAGAATTATCTCCCATTGCAAGCTCCGTAACATTTGCATTCTTGGGGCACCCTGCTGCTGTCATACGTGTTTGATGCCAGTCTTCAGCAGGGTTACAGACCTCCCTTTGTTTTCTCTTTTAGGTTTTCACATCACATGATTCCTGGTCCTCCAGGCCCTCACACAACTGGAATCCCTCACCCAGCTATTGTAACACCTCAAGTAAAACAAGAACATCTGCACAACGACAGTGAGCTAATGCATGTGTGAGTCTGCCTTTCTGCACTAGCCCTTAACCTATAAATGTTTAAGAACTAACTCTATCTGAAGAAGAGTCAAGGGTATATAATAAGGGAAAAAAAGTGCCTTTCATGACCTCTTTGAATTTTAAATCTTCTGTAACTAAAGCAGAAGATATGGGCTACTGTTTGGGAAGAGTAATGAGACATGAAGCCATTTTCCATTTCAGTTCAGCACTTTTTTAGCTATTGGCAACAATCACCTTGATTCAGATCTAATCGCAGGCCTGTCTACCTGTGAATGTTGCTTGAGTATGAACTCACAAATTTCTGCTGGAAAAAGCCTCCACTAGTAAAAAGCAGCCTACTTGCTTAGTGTACTCGGAGGAAAAAGCTGGAAAAAGAAGTGGATGAGGCACTATCCTCCTGCCTGTAGCAGTGGTCTTTTAGGGTACTATGGGTAGTCTTTCAAAAAGAGAATTGAGACAAGCGATGAATTTGGAACGGATTCACAGCTCAAATGTTATTTGCCAGAGAATGACAACCTGACATGCTTCCTGAGTGTTAAATTAAGTCAGTTCTCTGAAAAGATACAGAAGTAGATGGTACATGACCACTGAAATCCTCATTCTTACTACTTAAATGCTCCTGTAACCACAGGTTGGTAATTTTCCACTAGGGTTTTCTAGGCTGAAGGTAAATGGATGCTTTTTTTCCCCTCCTTTCCCTTTCCCCCACCACGTTTTAGGAAGCCTCAGCACGAACAGAGAAAAGAACAAGAGCCAAAAAGACCTCATATTAAGAAACCTCTGAATGCTTTCATGTTGTACATGAAAGAAATGAGAGCGAACGTTGTAGCAGAGTGTACTCTGAAAGAAAGCGCAGCTATCAACCAGATTCTTGGCAGAAGGGTATGTACAGGAGGGGGTGTGTGTACTCACGTGTGCTGCTAATTTGTGTGTGTTTCCCTTTAGTTGGGTGCGATAGCTCACTTTCTGCTTGAGGTGCTAACTAATGTGCAACTATCAAATTAGCTATAGAAGATAAAACATGCAACTAAAATAAAAGCAGCATTAGCAACATCATCAAACTGGTGTCTGTTCCACTCATGTTATGGTGTCAGCACCTCAGGCATGAAATATCCTTATTCACGCATGGAAGGAGTATTCAGATCACCTTCTGGGTCCTCCCTGGGGCTGGTGTCCATCAGGGCATGAGGGGATCATTCAAAGTCCAACACTGGATGCCAGTGGACATGGAACTCAAAAATGAATATAAGGTGGTTCAATTGTAAAGTCATGTAGGTTGGGAAGGACTTCTGGAGGTAGTTTAGTCCATCAGCTGCTCAAAGCAAGTCCAGTTACACCAGGTCACTCAGGGACTTGTCTAATCAAGTTTTGTATGTCTCTAAAGTCATCAGCTGAGTACTGATGATCCCAGTACATGTCCCAGAGACTCGCTGAGAGCCGTTTGCTTCTGTGGCATTGTAGGCATGTTTTGTTCTTTCTGTGCTCCAAGAAAGGTATGCAGGTCAACCCACAATTGCAGACTTCATATGCACTGTCAGTGTTCTTCTTCCAAGGGAAAGCAGCAGAGGTAATGCCCACTTTGCCCTTGACTGTCCCAGAAATGCAAAAAGGGATAACTTTTGTACCAGTCTGAGTTTGAGTAGGGATCGTTTATCTCCATTTTGGTAACAAATCAAGCCCCAGTGCTCCTGCTTTTTCTGCAGCTTGGACTCCTTTCAAGGTGCTGTTCTCTGTGAAAGTACCTAAAATTCCACTTTTACTATAGTACAAACAATGCACAAGTTATCCACTATAATTGCTTGGGGATTAATTATGTTTTGCGTTCGGTCATCCTGGTCACTATTTACTGTACCCTGTGTCACTCCAGAGAAGGAACCTCTGTTTTCAAGAGCTGATGCTTTGCATGATGCTGAGCTCTATGACAGCATTTAATATTGCTGCCTTCCAGTTTTGGAATGCACATGTGGAATTTGAGAGTTGCAAATAGGCTGAACCACTGTGCTTTCAGTAACACATCAAACTTGCCAAGTCAAGACAGTCTTGTCTTTAGTTCACGTCTTCTGATGTGTAACAAAACAACATATTAAATCATACAAATGTGATCTGATTTGAAATCCTAATTCTGTAAATTATTCTTGCGTGAGTGTCTTAATGATTTCACGTCTGTCTGGTTTTTGGGTTGGGTTTGGTTTGGGATTTTTTATAACATCTTCTTCTCTCCCGTCCTCCCATGCGTGTTGTCAAAGTCAAACAAGAAGACATGTTGAATGCTGCAGCAGTGGAACCTCATTCTAAATAGGTCTTTTCTCTTTCTGATTCAGGTCTATGATAGGCATTTCAACAAGAACAAAATGATTCAATACTAACGTAGCTGCTGTCTTTTCAAATGTGCAGGTTGTGAGGAGGTTTTGGGCTTTGGTTTTGGTGGTTTTTGAGTTACATAATAGCAGGAAATTTATCCCTACTTGGCTACAGAGGTGAACTTGTGTAATTTGGAAAACTCCAGTTCTGTGGTTTCTGTATCTTACAAACTTTTTGCAGTTGCCATTTTCTTTTCCTCTATTACAACAAGAAGAAATCGAAAAGCAAGTACCTTGAAGCTCCATACTTAGAGGTGTATTTTGAAACAGGAGCCTGCTGATGCCTAGAAAGCCCTCTGCATTGGCATTGAAAACCCATGTGTAGCTGCTGCTTAAAAACAAGACAGCAAACCCTTCTATGGTGGGGAGCTTGCTGCCCTTTAAAAGCAGCACAAAACCTTTCTGTTTTGTCAGGAGCTAAGGGGGGTGTGTATGTTGGTGGTTTTTTGGTTGGGTGTTTTTTGGGGTTTTGTGGGTTTTTTTTTGTTAAGTAGTTCTGGAAAAGCATGGTTCTGTGAGCATATTATTTGGTGAGCCCTGTTTCCATAAATTAATTTTGTCTTGCTGAAGGCACTTGGCAGTTGCGGAGCTGACAAATGCCTGAAACTTGGTTAATAAACAGGGGTGCTTGCAATTCCTAATGAATTTCATTTTTGCAGCAGGGAAGGACTGAATCAAAGTCACAGAAACACTTGCTCAAGTTGTCCGTTGCCTGGGTATGAGTTATTTCCTAGTCTACTGCTATGTTTATTTTATTTGCAGTGGCATGCTCTCTCCCGTGAAGAACAAGCGAAATATTATGAACTAGCTCGTAAAGAAAGGCAGCTACACATGCAGCTTTATCCAGGCTGGTCTGCAAGAGACAACTATGTAAGTTGAAAAAATTAACCTCCTTTACATAACTTTTTTCTTTCTTCTTTTTCTCTTTAACTTGCAGAAAGTTCTGGATGTAGGGATGGTGAACAAACGTGTAACATAAGGCTTACATGTGTTTGCATTTCAAGCATTCAGGAAACTTGGGATTTTACTGTTGTTGTTGAGATGCTTCTTACGAAGGTCATGTTTTTTGAAAGGGAAAAATAAACATGGAAAGTTGTGGGTTTTTTTTTCTAGGACAATGGTCAGCACTGTCTGAAAGCTTAGGTTCTACTGTACATCTATGAATTTTCTGTCATTTTCTATTTGATCGCTTGCTATCCAGAAATCTTTCTTAGACCTGAGCAAAAAAGGCATCTCTGTTTTACAAGAGAACCAAAAGTTCAGGGGTGTTAATGCAGGCTGAACTTCAGCTGAAAGTAGTTCAGAATGGTTCATCTCTGAAATAAAGCCCGTAAAATCTGTATAAATAAATTTGTGCTGAATCCTGCTTTTATACTGTTTGGTGAAGCTAAAAAGTTTTCTTACAATTACTGTTAGTTTGTAATTAAATCTCAAACAAGTGTTAATAGCATGCTGCACAGCTTGCAATGCACAATTACACAGTTGTGCTTACAATGAGTTGTCAGTATAGTCATATGTTAAGTTATGAAACTCAGAAGCCACAATCCCGAGAGACTGATCCTAGCCTGAGATCTGGGCTCCTTTCTGTCCCCCCATCAGCTGTGGCATTATTTATTGTGGTCGGAAGTGCACATGCTATATCTGTGTCAGTTTTCCATCTGTATTAGGTGGTCAGTAGTTTTTCAGTACTTCTGTGATGTCTTCTGGATGTTAAAAGTTGAGGTACCTAAATACAGTGACAATAGAAATCATAGAAACTTGCACAGAAGACATTGACACAGAAACTACGCAGATGCCTTGGCCTTGCCGACATCCATGCCCAGTTTTGTAAGCACAGACACTACTGCAAGCCCTAGCAGCTTGTTTCTGCCTGTTTTATACAGTCATCTTTTCTAGTAGATGAGCTGTCATGACCTTACGCAGGTAGGGTTTATTTCCAGTAACCAGACCACGTCAACAGAGCTGTCTTGAAATACAGCTGGGAACAAATAGGGCCTTAATGATATACTCCTTGAAAAGGATGGGATTTCAACTGTCTTGAATGTACTTGCTGGAAAATCAAACCACTTTTTAGCCTGGTCTGCTCACGCTTACTGGACATCAGCCTTCAAGAATGTCCTCTGATGTTTGGTCATGTTGACTCTGAGAACCTGAGGCATGTTGCCACAGCTTACTGCCATACAGCCTAAGCGGTGGACTGCAGTTTCTTAAATGCCTTGATAGACCTTAGGAGTGTGTAAGGTGGCACGTACGGATGCTCTCTTTGATGTGCTTCCAGCCTACATCCTGTGTGGAAGTATAGCTCTGACATATTTCTGTCCTACGTGTTACAATGGAGAATTTCACTACCTTCCTCTTGCAGTCCTCCTCTGCCTCTGTAGGAGTGCGCATCATTCTTGCATTGGTGGTGAGGTGGTAATCATAATAGATCATGGTTTATCACTGAAACATTTCCAAGTACGTCATCTGTTGGGTTTTTTCCTTTTATTTTTTTTTGCTTCAGTTTTTTTAACTTGAGCAGTCAAAAAATGAAATTGCATTCATTCAGCACTGATATTACTGCAGTATTTTGAGAGCTGAAAGTGGCATAGGGGTGACTCTTCTCTTTTATGTGGCTGAATTTCACAAAACACTCCAATTAAAAAATATATGCTACTTCGTTTTCGTTCTTTGTTTTGGTTGTGCCTGGTTATTCAGGACTTCAGAAATTGCAAGAAAATGTGAAGCACTGCTATTCAACTGTGGACAGTATCTGTGTGCTTTTTATTATGTTTCGATTACTGACGCCCAAAGAAGTCCTGCAAAGTTGCATGACAGTCATGAGAAGCACAGTGTTTTCATGATGTAGTGATGTCTCTGTGTGTTGGAGTTGTCAGAAACTTCCTCATTTGGAAACGCTGACAACTAGTTTTCAGCCCAGCCTTTTCCTTCTGTTCCTCTGCTTCTGGTATCTCATAGATAGACCTCAGATAAGCTTTCAGTATGTTTTGGCAGCCTGCTGTAGGGAATAAAACACGGTTTTCTTTCCATGATTTTCCATGTTAACATCTGCATTAATGCACTTTCCTCTGTAAAGAAGTGTTGGTGCCTAAGCGATAAAGCATACAACTGTGAGTTTCCCAAAGCCCTTGAAATCTGCTTTCGAACTTCTAGTCTTGGTCCTGTCTTTGGGAGCTCGCTCACAAGGCATTGCTCAGCCTTGTTGCCAGCCTCAGGATAAATAAGGACAGGAGCTTGAGAATCAGGTAGGCACAGACTGTCAGAGCAGACTAGAGACTGCTTAAATTCATCTGCCGTAGCTTCACTGGAGCCCTAGCTTGTACAGCCCTTGCTGTCCTTCCGTGAGCACTGCAGTGGTTTGAGGTGGTTTCTCACATCACCTGCTGTCCATCCTGTTGCCTTGTAGAGCTAGCTAATGGAACAGTGTGTCCCTCCACCGTAGCCCTTCTCATGTGTGGCTGCTGTGTGCCATGGTCTACACTGGGATGTGTGTTGGCAGCTGCCAGCTGTGCTGAGTGCAGTAACCTCTGGCTGGGGGGCAGCAGAAGGATGGACAGTGGGCTGCAGTCCCACTTACAGCAACTGCACCCAGGTTTGCCCAAACTCACTGGTTAGATCCTCTCCTGGCAGCTTGAAGGCTTCTTTGAAAAAAATTAATGGATAAGACTTTTTTTCTATTTTTTTTTTTTTTAATAAAACAAAACCAAGCAAACCCAAAGCTTTGAATGACAGCACAGGTCAATAAAGAGAAGTCACATGGAGGAATATCAAAGTGGTAATTAGGGCAATGCAAGATGACTGAGGTTTAAAATTGTGGGTCTAAACTGACCTTTTGTTTCCTGAAAGACACTGTGAACTGGGAGCTCTGGCCTTTTCCATAGATGGGGGTGCAGGAGAAGGCTTGAGTGTGTGGGTTGGCGTGATGAGCCTGTACTAGCACACTGGTGCCAGTGTGGTGTCCGAGAAAGACAGCTGCCAGACGTCCATTTCTGTCCTGCACCTCAGTCACATTAAGGGTGCTCTGCTGTACAGCAGTCTGCTCTTTGCCTGTTGCACACCCGTGTTTTCCTGGCACAGCCCCACACGACTTGGCTGTTGTTAAGATACGGACATTATCAGTGCAGTTTTAGTTGGCTGGTTTGCACTCCGGGGACAATCATGGTTGTCCTAGGTACTTTCAACACCCTGTCTGCTGTTGCCATGTATGACAGTGTACATATCTGAATGTGTGAAGAGTGCTTGTAAGAGCCATAAATTATGGTATCGACATGTGTCATCAGATTATTAAGCGTGAGAAGCTTTTTAGATGCTTGCGGCTGCCAGTGTTAGTTGAAAAACTGCTGGAAATTGCAATTCCATGTGGATATAAAAACATGTATGGCGCATGTATTTCTCCATAGATGCTCAGAGCACAGCTTGTTACCATTGAAACACTTGGAAGTGGGTTAGAAAAGGTTTTAGCTACCTCAAAAACAATTGTTCTTTCTTCCTCACCCCTTTCTGAATGTGGAGATAGCTTTTTTTTCTATTTTATGAGGTGAGGAAGCGAGAAAAGAAAGTTACATGCATGTAACAGTATGGTAAAATTTCCTATTTTTCAGGGAAAGAAAAAGAAGAGGAAGAGAGAAAAGTTGCAGGAATCAGCATCAGGTAGGCCATGGCCAGCTCTTACTTACCATTCACCTCAGGTATATTTCAGAAACCAGGCTTGCGCTATCTAATATTTACATGCTTTTCTCTTAACACTTGCTTCTGATGGATGTTTTAAGATACTTCACTTTGAATGCAAGCTCTTGAAAATACACACAATACATGTTTCCTTTCCCTTACGCCTTTCTGTGCAGCATCCTGATGGCATCAACATCTTTGGCTGAACTCGCTCATTACTGTCCTGCTTTACCTTTGCTTTTCTCCTCAGTCAGTGTTGTATCATCCTTAGACGTAACTATGTCTCAAATACTGTGTGGGATTATTGGACACTGGAAACTCTACACTGACCTTTTTGTAGCCACTGTATTTTTTTAACATTGTATTTTACAGTTCTGTGTACTCTGCTGCCTAATAGGCTGGCTAAAAGCATCAGTGAGGTCTCTTCTTTGACTGTAAAACACATACAAAGAAACACCCTGTTTTCCCCAAGAAAAATGGCTGGTATAAGAACCATAAAAACAAGCAAACAACAAAACCAAAACCACAAAAGAAAATCCACGTAATGCTGTAGCAAACAAACTTATTTGGAATGTGCAAAAACTCTGTAACAGAAATTTGTTAAAGGAAAACAATCTTCTACAGGTACAGGCCCCAGAATGACAGCTGCCTACATCTGAAGCATGGTAAGAACATCTCTAAAGCTTTCCTGATGATAAAACTGAATTGTGAAATAAGCTTTCTTATAAATTTTATGCAATAATATGAATTTAGCAAAAATTGCAGAAGTATCATATCCCAAAGCTTTGTTACTTTGACTACTGATGGTTTTTATACCGGCTATCTATTAGGTGTTCACCATTTCACTTCTTAACCTTCATATTGTCAAACTGACCATACCTCACTGACGTGCTGCAAGTCTGCCTGGGAAGCACAGGGATGGGTTTATCAAACAGTGCAAACCCTCCCAGGCAGCAGACTGTCACAGTTCGCAAGAGCAGGCTAGACACTGGCTTTGAGTACATTTTGTGTGCTGACACCTACAAGATGCTGGCTGGCTGGGTACACCTATGTACTAACGAAACATCCGCTAAGAAAGTGGGACTGTATTTCAGTTACAGCAAGAATTTAGCCCTCAGCTGTACAGTGGTATTTCATGTGTGCGGGTTGGTTTGTTCTTGTTGGATTTCCAGAGTGTTTTCTCTCTTCACATTATATCGTCTGCAAAAAAAGTGGAATGATTAGTGATTACACACATCCAGTGACACCGTCTAGTCTGCTTGTGAGTGCACACAGTGCAGTGTGAACCTCATTTTATAGTGTTTGCGCTGGAAGGCTGGTCCTTCTCTTCTTCTCGGTGTGATAATGTTCCCTAGTAGGAATGGCATTCACTTGACAGAATAGTTGCTTCCACACTGTCTAATTAACCCAGACTGCTCTTGGAACACCCCTAAGAATTCCAGGAATCATGAAAAAAAGGAACACTTACTAAAGTCACCAACAGAATTGGTCTCTTTTATCCCCTCTGCCTTGTCTGGCTGCATGATGCCTTTGGCACTTGGGGTGGTCAGCAAAGCAGCCTCCTGTGGCCCCTCTGCTCTGCTGGGACTTTCAGCTAGAAGACAAGTTAAGTTTGTTCTGTGCAGTGTGTCAGTGTCAGTCTTTGGTTCAAGCATCTTGTGCAGTTATACCATTTTGCTGGTTAGTCTAAACTTGGTTGGGTTTAAGACTTTGTTTTTTCTTTAAAGCTGAAATGAAAATGTGAAATGCATGCTCTGTTTTTTTTCTTCCTGCTAAACAAAAGGTTTTCAGGCAAGCCGGAGTCATGCTGATTGTAGATGGGGATTGCAGCATTTGGGTTCTGTAGCCTACACAACAAATGTAGCTGTAAAGTATTGTTACAGTGACTGCCATAGGTGTTTAAGAAATACCTTGAGTTTTATAACTGATGTTTCAGTTTAGTTACCCAGGCCCATGACTGTTGTATTTTTCCCTTTGATGTCAACATAGTACCAGTAAGCAAAACACACCTAATTTCATCTGAATTGATGCCGAGTGTTTGATTGGGATCAGAATACAACTATGGTTCACATGGCAGTTGAAAACCAGGGGATATTTGGTTTCTTGGATGCCTTACATTCTAAGGATGAACTCCTTTTGACAGAGCTTCTGTTTGCATTTTCCGTAGTAGAGGATGCGTGTTCTGAGCACATGGGTTTTCTCTTTCCCTTTTACCTTCACACCCCTCCCTCCCTCGCTTCCTTCCTTTCTCTCCCTTAAGCTCTGAAACAGTATGGAAACTGTTGGTAATACCTGTCTCTGTCCTTGTGCAATTTGTAACACAGAGTATGAGAACAGTGGGTATCTTCTTCCACTGAAGGGGAAGTGTGCTGTTGACTCCATATATGCACGTGTAGGCAGCCTCACTAAATGTCATGTGCCAAGTGAGTATTCTCCACTGGAGACATACAGATGTTGCTCTAGCTAGAAGTAAATGCACAGAATGATTTAGGGAACCTGAATCAGCCAGCCAGACTTCAAAGTAAACTTCTGAAGGTTAAGACTCTTGCCCTTTCCAAGCCTAATCCAAAGAATGTTTTGCCCACAAGCATAATATCTTACCAGGCCCACAGCAGAGCTGTTGTAGTCTTTACTGGATGAAGATGATAAGTTTGGGAATGCCTTTCAGTGAGTGCTGCAAAGAGCTCTTGAAGACAGGAAAACACTAGCTTTCTTACTTGTACAGATGGTGCAAGGAAGAGGGGGAAGGAGGGTGGGAGGTCTGGGAAGGAGACAAGCGTTCTGTTATCTGAGAATAATCAGAAATGAGTAGGTGGCAAGACCAAAGAAAGAATCTCGAGATCAGCACAAAGGAGATCAGCCAGGGCTGTAATTACGGTGATGTAAGTGAGAAGGATGAAATAGTGGGAGGGTTGTGTGGTGGGATGTTCAGAGGAAAGTAACGGAAGAGACATGCAAACAGAAATGATTTAAGATACTGTGAAAGTTTTGGGTGTGGGGCTTTTTTGTTGTTTTTTATGTCCATGAACACTTCAGCACATAACTGATTCTTAAGGTGAACCTCTCACCTGCTTTTTGGCTTGGCCATCATTTGACTAGTGATGAAGTGAAGGTGGTAGTGTTAAGTTGCCCCTCTTCCCAGGGTTGTACACAGCAGCTTCACTTCTTATGGCTTCACTGCTTAAGATTTATCTGAGTTCCACAATCTCCTCCAGCTGGCTGAATGGCCAGTTTGTAAAACACTTTAATATTAGGGTGCTTTAGGAATACCATGACCTGGTGCTCCATTCTTTGCTATATTATCCTGGGATACTCCAAGGCATGTCACCATTCTTGGAGAGTTGGGTAACTGTCCCCAGGCAGGATCTTGTTTTCAGTTGACATGGCCTAACACAATGTTTGATGTAACTTATTTGTTGCAAAAATAAGTTGTATTTATTCTCTCCTTTGAAATCAACCAAGAGTTGCGTAAGACCTGATAATGCTAAAAATTACTTTGGGAGAAGCCTGGAGGGAAGGGTAGGTGAGAAAATCTAAGATTAAGGACAATGTAGAAATTATCTGTTGTACACCTTTCAGAAGGGTGGTGTTTTCTTATTATTTTAAGCACAGCCTTCTAGAAGTCTTGCAAATGGGAGCAATTCTGTGTCAGAAGTGAAGATATTTTATTTCCTATCCAGTTTGACTTTTGGAAGGGAAAAAAGGCTGATTTTTTTTTAGCATCCCATGAGTATTTTTAAATCAGCAGGAAATAGAAGGGTTTTCATTAGCATGAAAACTTGTAATTGTTCTGCAACATGGAAATAGTTAACTTCCTATGACTTGCTACATACAGTAACTGTAAAAGACACATCATCTGACATAGGATAGGATGCAGTTGGGAAGTCCTCACAAGCTACATAATTTAACATTGTGTTTTGGCGTATCTTCAAGGGCTAAAAAGGGTGATAGAGAAGCTTAATGGACATTTAATGGACAATTGAAAACCTGTGAGATGTGTATTTGTGGCTTGCAAAATTCCATGACAACTGGCATTTAGATTAGCAAAGCTTTCAAAATGAGAAAACTTTTACTAACACTGATTTACACCAGAAGTACTTAAAAGGATCAGATTAAGACTGTTTAACTTTAAACAATGAATTGTCTGTAGAATATTTCAAACATCCTACATGGAAACTAGAGTCAAATTTCGGTGAAGAAGTGATTTTTGGATGGTGTTGTTACAAGCAATTTATGACTAGAATATCTTATTACTTAGAAATAAAATGGAGTGAAGCTGTGAAAGCAGACTGCCAAGTGGACCAATCTACAGCCAGAATACTGTGGAAAAGAACCATCTGATGACCGTGGTCATGGTTGACTATGGGTTTCTGGCCAGCATCCTAGAAAGGAGATGCAAAGAGGATGTGGTACCTTGCTGTCCGAGGCACATGCTTTCTAACGTGGCTTGTCCAGTGCTCTTGATGTTGCTGGAGTAGTTGAAAACAAAACAAACACTCCAGCTTTTTACATACCGCTTGACTGCTCAGAAGCTTTAAGCAGAGCCCCTGAAGGATGTGTGCAGAATTTGGTGTGTAAGAAAGAGAATTTGTGGTGCAGAGACATGTCCTGATTTGCTTTAAAACTTGTGTTTCCTGTGTGACCCATGTTTCTGTATTCCCTGTTTTGCCTATGCACGGTGGTCTTCAGCGTAGTCAAGGCGGACAGAAGGAACAGCAGAGAATTTGCTGGATTGAAACATTCAGATTTAATACTTCAGTTGACTTCAGCCTTTTTCAGATAGGCATTGAAATTTCCAAAGAAAAGTTATATAGCCCTCAGACAGGTCCTCTTCTGCAACTTAATTCCGATTGATCTTGCCACGATGAAAGATAGAAGACCTCTTTTTCAGGCTGACATCAGGAAAAACGTCAGAAGAGCAAACGTGAAGCACTGTTTGGGTGGCAGGTACAGAGGGGCACTGACACCTGCTGGGAGAGATGCGGCAGAGCAGACCGAGTTCTCCCTTTTCCCTTACCAACCTGGCGGAGGACCCTGGTGAAGTGCAGGAAGGAAGGAAGGAAGGGTATAAAAGCTATCTTGGGTGCAATCAGAGACTATAGGAGGGATAAGGGTAAGTCAGGGAAGGGGCAAAGCATAGGTTTTCTAAATGAAAAAACAGCAGAACACTTTCAACTAGACAATCAGCACAGATACAGGATTAGAGAAACAAGAATGTTTAAGTATTTACAAAGCAGGGGTGTAGCATAGTCAGCTATGAAGCAGGCCTTTAGCATTTCATGTTTTAAACTGGCACTGACAAAGGGCAAAAGTAGATAATTCAGCAGGTGAATGTCTAGGACCTGTTTCTTTTGTCAAAGATGCCGCAAAGTCAGAGATGCCTCATGGAGTTCGAATGCAGATACATTTACAAGTGATAAAAAAAACAACATACAGTGTCACTTCTGAGGGTTTAGCAGTAGGCGGCTTGGGCTAGAATGGAGGAACAGTGGGACGACTATTGTTCCAACTCTTCCTGTGGGATAGGGTGGGGACAGGGAGTTGACGGCTGGTGCACCATTCTTCTATGGATGAGAACGGTGTATTTTAGTGGATTTAGTAAACTCACCACTAGATTAAGACTTCTAAGGTCATGAGAAAAAATTCTGTTGAAACAAACTGTTTCATAAAGAAAGAGTAAGGTTCTGAAAGTGGCTTCATTCCCACTTGGAAGAAAACCTCGGCCTTTTAGCGTTCATCTCAGGTCTGTATTGCATTTTCATTCTTCAGTGTATTTACATGAAAAGCTTCAATATGAGAAAATGCTACTGCATTCCTGAACAGCTAGAGAACAAGTTGTTATGACACCCACTGGCAAAGTCTTTCCCATTTATTTCTGGAGACTAAGCTTGGTGAAATCCATCCTCTAATTCAACAGAATTGTATTTAAATGCAATTCTGTCAAAGCTGAGCAAACTCGAGCACTGACTTGTTTCTGTTTGACTCTTTTAGAGATTATGATTGGATTGATGAGGTCTTCTGATATACATGAATGCAAACCAGCCATCCTGAAGACAAAATCGACAAAACCGAACCAAAAAGCCTAAATTTGGTGATGCAAAGGTCACCGCTAATAGAGTGAACCTTCTCATACCAGTCCAGTTCTTTAATCGTCTACTTTAAGAGCTTCCACGCAAGTCTTGTTTCAAATCTTTAATCCTTTACCCACTTGTTAAGACTGTACCATATAAACAGATTTGAACATGTGCAGTGTGGAAAGTTGTACAAGTAAGGAGGCTCACAGCAGAGCCAGCTGAAGCACCATTGCCTAGGGAATTACATGTGAGGCTGACAGCCAGTTAGGATTTTAGTCTGACCTTTCAGGACATGAGCTTTCTGCTGTTAGTTCCAGCATTAGGAGCAAACGTGGGAAGCATTTGTGCAGAGAATATGCCATTGGCACTGGGGTGTTGTGTGTGAGCAGGGTTACATGCAACTGAGGGAAATGGTACCAGTGACCTCTCTGAATTAGTGTTCTTGCCACAGGTATCAGTAGAGCGGGAGCAGGGGGTAAGAAAACTAAGACAGCTTAACTGGGCAGAGAGACACAATTTCTGAAGTTGCTTCCTCCTTGCAAAAGTAAGATAAGTTTCCTCATTAATACTAGTTGCATCAGAATTAACCTTGTTCATTTTGAGAACTCCTTATCCTTCATCTTGGGGATACCCGACATTGCATGAGGTAAAACATTATTGCCAAAATACTGTGTAATAATCAGTTCTATGGTGTGTGCATTTCACTTGACACTAGGTGAGACCATGTTTTGATGAGTAGTTGGGTTTCTTCCCAAACATGTGTCTTTTGAGATACCCAACAGGAGGCTTATGTATTTCAGACCAGTAGAGATGACTTAATTGCATCAAAGTGAAGTTGAAGTGTTTGAATTCTGTAGCTGATCCTGTGTACTGCCATCTTACATGGGTAGTGTTGCTCTGTGATGTCTGTGTGTAGAAGAGCTGATGAAGCTCAAGAAGATATTTAGGCTACAGCTGAATTACCTTTGTTGCATGAAAGCAACTATTTAAATTATTCCATGTATTAGAAGATTTAAATGCTGAGATTGCCTTTCAAAGTACAGCATAAATTCTAACTAACCTGTGTCAGAAAAGATGATCTACAAAGGAAACTTCACCTATCTTATTTCTTTCTTTTGAAAGAATTTTCACTTCCTACTTTACCCCTGCCTCATGTCTTTTCTGTTGCAGCAGGTGAAAACTGAATTAGCAATTTCAGTGCCCCTAAAACTGATGCATCTTTGTAAGCAGCTCTCAGTCTATTAAAGAAATATTTTTTAAAATAGCCTTCTGAATATTTATTATATGTTGTGAGGATACAAAAAGAGGACAAGCCTGTTTCTTCCACCCTTGCAGATCACTTTTAGTATATTATTCCTCTTTAAGAAGCTGCTAGACATGGCTGCCTAGAGGTAATTCGTTTTTTATTATAAACATGGAACCTCTCTCCCCTCCCACCCCAACAGGAAAAACACGTCCTGGGTCTTCCAGCGGGATCATTTTAAAGATTGTAGCACAGTGATAGAGCTGCTAGTTTCATGCTGCCTACACTGGGGGCCTTTGATAAGAGCCACACCTGCTTTGGCACCACTGACTTCAGCTGCACAAAGCAGGAGCCCCGAAATATCTGGGATCTGGGCGTTTCCCATGCCGACACTAACATGCACTGGAAGAGGTCTATGCCTTATGGAAGAGAGGGCATTCCTGCTCTTCACTTAAGGCATCAAGCTTAGGCCAAACTAAGAGGTCATAATTTAGGACTCTAATTTAGGACTCCAGACTCCACGTATCAATGGAGAGGTATTTTCAGGGGTAGTTACTAAAACACTAGTGGATAGTGTTACTTGAGTCTCCATTCACAGTTACTAGCAATGGGCTGAGGCTAACAGTAGCAAGGGAGGGGAGGGAAACCAAGAAAACCAAGAAAAACTTACTACTGCCATGGCTTCAATATGACAGTATCTGTTACAGTGTTAGGGTACAATTTCATCTAATTTCTTTGGCAACAAAGGCAGCTTAAAAGGTTTCTTCTGCTGCCTGCTGGTATCCAGCTCAGGCTTTTTCCTGTTTCCCGTACATCTCTCATCCATGTGCTCTAAAAGCTTGTTGGACCCTGCAGCAAATCGGATTACTAAAATGACTGGGGTTTTGTTGGGAGGTAGTTTTTTGTTTAGAAGCAACAAAGGTTGTGGAGTGTTTGTTTTTGTTTGCCCAGGACATTTCAAGGATCTGGTTTAGGCTAACCCCACAAACCATGGCACAGCTGGGCAGGAAGAGGAGCAGACTGCAGTGCCAGCATCTATCTGCTTGCGCCTGAAACTCTCTCCAGCTCTGCTGCTAAAGAAAATACAAAGGGGCTTCACAAACTGTGTGAACTTTCCTGATAAATAATGACCTGGTTTTGCTACCCAAGTTTCTGGAACATTGGATAAACCCTGGCAGTAAGTTGAACATGTTCGTTATGGACTTCAAAAGAAAATGACAGTTTCAGCTACTGGGTCCCTGAATTTGCCATTTGTTTGAAGTATCTGGATTAAAAAACAGGTTTGGAGACTGACTTTAAAAAAAATAAATACATAAACCTGCCATTACTATATGTAGCCTTTTTTTTCTTTCTCTTGCTTCCTGTGAAGGATTATCTATCTCTTTTACTCTGTACTTACTACTGTACCAACCCAGATGCTCTTGACTTTCTTCCATAACTTCTTCCAAATAGCATGACCTGGATGAAGCTGCATAATCCTCTCCCTTGTTCTAGAAAAAGGGAGATGAGTTAAAGACTAGAGGAGGAGTACAAGGCCCTTGTGGACCCACCCTTCAATCCATCTCCTTCCCAAGTGTGGGGAGGACTTCTTATCCCCCTTTGATGCTCTTGCCCTCAGCCGTTGAGCCCAGACTTCTTAGGAGGCTTGTTTTTTACTGTAGTGATTCCCAAAATACAGTTTTATCACTTCAGTACTAAAGCTTTTCTTTTTACACTGAATTATTGTTGAATTTTATTTGTTTCTCGAGGTCTGCCCCCCCCCCCCCCCCCCCTTTCCTCCTGCAGTCAGATGTACACTGCAAATGGCACAGACAGTGCCTCCTATTGTGGCTCAGGCTCAAGACTTCACATATGTAAAATGTGACTTGCAGCACTTTCTTTGAAGCCTAACCACAGCCAGGGAGCTGTAATTGCAGTCTTTGATTGTGCCGACTTCACTTGTGGATTGGGCTTTGCTAGGGCATGCCTTGCTTGGCCAGACTTCAGCTACAGCCCCCCAGTGAAGCCTTAGATGTGGGAAGTCTTCAGTCTCCTTAGCACATGCCTGTGGTTTCTTGAAAAGAATCCCGATTTGACCTGGTTTATATCTGTAAGGCAACACCATCATCATTCGTATTTTTTAGGTATTATTTGGTTTATCAGCAGTAGAAGCAATTTCCAGTGTGCAGCCTTAATGTGCAGCTGGGGAAAGGCTGGGTTCTAGATGCTGCTTTCAGTATAGCTACTGTGTAATTTGCTGTACTGCAGTACTCACTTAGAAATAAAAGTATTTGGGGCTTCACTGTGCCTGTCCCCTCACAGAATTCCAGTAGTATCTGCAGGCTCTATTGGAGAAGGCATAATCAAGCACCAAGAGGGGCTACGGAAAGGAGGCAAGCGCTGCAAAAGCTGCCTTTGGATTGAGAAACAAGTGATGGCTGCTGCTTGAAAAGCTGAGGGCCAGAGCAAGGCCACGGTCGTTGTTTTAACCTCCTGACTTCAAAGACAGCTTGCTGGTAAGGGAAGGGGGGAGGAGGCAGGGAACCATCTCAACAGAAGAGCATTTCATTTCCTTCAGTGAAGTAGACATTCCTGGCTGCTAATGGGGAGTAGGTCTGAATCACATCGCTTGTATCAGACTGCTGTGAACTACTGGCCTGGCGCCTCAAGGCCATTCCTCAACAGGAAGCTGAATGTTTTCATGTAAGACTGAGAGGAAAACCTTCCCAGGAAGAGCAACCTGGACCAAACCTTTGAAAATCTGGGATGAAAAGGCACAGAATAAATATAAAGCTGCAGGGTGCTCTCCCCAGTGTTCCTCTGCTGTTTGCTTGGCCTCTCTTTCGTGCTCCTTGGAAAGGTAGAGCCCGTCACAGCTCTTTGATCCACACGTGTTACGGAGCACTGTGCTACTTTATGGAAAGTAAAAAAAAAAAAAAGACAGGAAGCTCAGAAGGCTTTTTTTAGTTGGGACTTGGGCCGGTTTTATGAGGAAATAGGAACTGAATTAGTCAATACAGACCACCTCTGTTGAAACCACTGGTTTGCCAGTGGACTTTCAGCTGTGATGTTTAAGAGGCCACAGTGGCTTTAAATGTTTTTCTGTGGCTACCAGCAGCAGGTGAAAATTATTCATTATGTATCAGGGATGGTGGCATTTGGGGGAGGGAAGAGTGTCCTTCAAATTAAAGCTATATATATGAATTTGTACTTGTTCCTTCCACTCAATCTGCAGCCAAACCTCTTCAATGTCCTTAGATTTCCACTAAAACAATAGTCATGTGGGTGGCCTCTGATGAGGAGTCAACTTATTTAGTAAGATTTTGGGGCCTCAGCTTGTGCTCACTAAAATCAAAGGGTCCAGAATCAGTTTTGGAGACTTTCTGTCCTCGAGTAGATTAGCCTGTGTAACTTCTTACTCAGGAGCTGTACTCAACCAGTACACTGGTTACACTCTTGCACAGGAGCTGCTGCAGATGGGAGGTGGGTGCCCAGTTATAAATGGCCCTGGTTTAAATACTGCTGCTGTAGTATTTGCTGATTAATTCTGCTTGGGGCTCTTACAAGCTCACGCAGTCTATCTATTAGTCTAACAGAAGTTTGACTCGTGGTTTAAACCATTTCTTCATAAACTTGTTCTGTCTTGCCTTGTGTGATTCGGGGTGCTGGCAGCGTGTCTTTGTGCGACAAAGCATTTTGTGTTTCTTCTGGTGAAAATTCACTCACCTTCCCCACTAGACTACATTCTTGTGCTAGTTTGGGTCATTTGCAAAAGCTCTGCTCATTGAACCTTCTACTTGTTTGGCAGCGGAGTACTACACGGAGGCCTAGAGGTTAACGTAGATTTCTTGAGATACCAATAATCCTGAGACCATTACTGGAGAGCATGTGTCCGCCCATGGAAAGCCGCCTGACTCATCAGACAGCCTTGGGTGGAGTCCCTCTTATAACCCAGTTGTCTGGGTCAGAAGGGCAGGGGTGATGGTTGAGTTAGCAATTGTGCAAGTCAGCTGATGTAACCCACAGACCTAGTGATGAAGAACTGTTCCTCTCTGGATGAGCAATACCTATTAGGCTTGCCCTGTTGACCTTTTCATATGCTGTAAGAACATAAAACCTTCCAAGATGCTAGTGAACTTTACTGCTAGGTAAGAGACCCATGGCTGTTACGCAACTGGGAGATGTTCCCTACCCCACTGAAGAGCAGAAAGACTCCTCCCCAGTTGTGGGGACACATGTTAGGGTCAGTGCTCACATAAGCCTCACCCACCACATTCCTCTAACCAGCTGCTTACAGAAGACAGCATTTCCTCAGGGAGCAGAGCTTGAAGCTCTGAAGTAGTTCAATTGACCTCAACCACTGTGGTATCAAGGCCTGCAAGGCCTGAGGATGTCTAGTTTTGTAACAGATATCTGGGTCACATGCTGTAGATAAATTAACTCCACTACAAAAGGGAATTTATTCTGCAGTATGCTGGATGTCTAAACAGCTTAAACCCCAGCTTTCTAGTTGGTGTGGATATCTATTTACAATTCTAAGTACACAAATATTCTTTCAGACTTCAAGCAAGAGCAAGTAGCAATACTCTCCCATTGCAGACGCACATTCCACTAATACAGCTGTGTCACAGAGTTACAGCCGGTTTGAAGGATTTAAACAGAAAAACTTCATATATTCTTTATCTCTCTCTTCCTCCCCCTCCCCGCTTCCCTGTAGGTGGGAAAAGAAATGCTTTCTCAACTTGCAAAGCAAAGGCGGCGACACCAGGACCCCTTCTGGAGATGGAAGCTTGTTAAACCCTAGGTGTGTCCTTCATCCACACAGACCACCCCCAAGGAGTCTGTCTAGGATGTCATTCACCCTGATGTCACTGCTAGAGACACTGAATCATAAAGACAATCACTGCCAAAATCCTTCACTATCACGAGGTCCAGCCCTGATATAAATAGAGCAAAATGAGCTCCTGGGTCAGCAGAGGAGCTTTTGTCTTTGCTCCACCTCTGCCTTGCACTCTTAAGCCCCATCTCATCTGTGTCCAAATCAAGTCAGCAAACAAAGTAGCATGGCTGTCTGCCTGCTTCAGCCAAAACAGTAACGTAGACCACAGCTGCCCCATACAGCACATCGAGGAATGGAATTTTGCCTGGACCAGGATGACACACTCAACCTTCTTTTTATTTAATGGTGCGACAGGATCAATTTTGGTTTTAGCTTTTTTTAAGAAACTTGAATGCTTTTATATTTTAACTTTTAGTTTGTAATTTCTTTGGTGTATATTTTACTAGGTATGAGCTTTTAAACAAGTGTCAGAAATCTGAAATACTTTTTAAATAAAAGGAGGTTTTCTTTTTTTGTTTTCTTTTTTGTTTGGGGTTTTTTTTTTCTGCCAGAGGAAAAACTGTATGGAAAAAAAAAAAAAAAGGTGGCTTTTTGTTAAACTATTTGTAACAAATAGCGGCCTCTTCTCAGTCTATATAATACAGTGTCCTATAGAACTAAATAAATGTAACAACACTCCGCTGGTCAGTAGACATGTTAGTCTTGCATCATCTACTTTGTAAACATAAGCAATACATCCAGCAAATCTGACTGCAGTGAGTTCTCCTTCTCACCCATTCCCCTTCTCCTTGTAAAAAGCCCAGCACTTGAATTATTACTTCAATCGTTCTGTATTTGTATCTGTTTTTGTTAGCCTGTTAGTGGGATTTTATGCCAGTTGTTGAAATGAGCATTGATGTACCCATTTTTTAAAATAGTAAGGCACAGCCTTTGCCAAAAATACTGTCAACCTTTTTTTTTTTTTTTTTGTCATTCCAGTTTGAGTTAATGTGCTGAGCATTTGTTTTTTAATAAAAGCTTTGTAATAAAACTGAAGTCAATTGCCTGGCTTAACATAAATGAGAGTGGCTTGCACCGGCATCCCACAAAGGTAGAGGTGAGGACAGGAAGGCACAGTCACTTCTAAAGCTGAAGACTTTTGGATCAGTGTTCCCCTGTAGGAAATGCAATGTGTGTTTGGCTGTTTGCTCACCTGAAGTAAGGTCGTCCTGGAAAATGACTTTTTCTTCCTAAAAAGAGCAGAAGTCTCTTATTTTCATACCAGGAGTAAGAAATGGGCAGACTCAGTGCTCCCTTATGCTTCTCAGGTAGATTTGGTCCAAGTGGGAAGTACCAGGGCTGATGATCTCTTCCTCTACCTTCAGTTTCCTACTAAAGCCTTAGTGAACACGCAGCAGCGGTTCTAAGATGATGATTTGGAATATGGATTCCCTCCTTTCTGGCTGCAGTCCATTCCCACACAAGGGGTAGGAGCCTACAGTTGGCTGCATAAATTATCTTGCAGTCGGGGAACTGGAACTGGCTGCAGAGGGCCTCATTTCACAGTGTCAGATCCAGAGTTGGCATGGTCTGCCCCACTGCCAGTGGTGCCTGTGAGACATTCCTGCAATAGTAAGCAGCTCCTCTGCACGCTTCAAAACTGAAAATGCAGGCTTTTGAGTCTTTCAAGCCCCAAATGCTACCAGCAACCTTTCTGACACCTTTCCTGTTTTGTTCAGGGACTGGAATTCCACAGCTCTGAAACCAGACACAGATGCCTGACCCCTACTAAAAAGAGTTAAAAAAAAAAACCAGTGCAGCCATAGATAAATTCCTCCAATGGTTTGTGAGCAGCACTGCAAAATAAACATTATGAACTGCACATTGAATCAGCATACTTTGTATTCTAGCTCCTGAATCTTGTTAGGTGTGAGAGTGCAGTCAAGCTTGAGCTACAAGAAATGACATAGGTGAGTTACAGCACAGGGAAGCTTTGTGATTACATTGTTTACACCTGATCCTTAAACTCTGTTGCATAAGAAACATCATAATTAAAAATGTTATAAAACAGCTTCCTCTCAAAACAGCATGCACTGCATACAACCCCAGCTGTAAGAATGTAACCAGCATATTAGTTCTTGCAATATTTATTTCTAGCAACTAGTGATTATGTTAAAAAAAAAGCAAAACAAGTGACCAGACAAGGGAATGCACTCAGATGGCAGGAGAAAAGGCCTCTGAGAGAACAGCAATTGTATACTGGAGTTTTGCAAGACTTGGCTACATTTCCATTCCAGTCATTTACCCCAGCCTTTGCTGGAAACCTGTTTGGTTTTCAGTTTGGGGTTTGGTTTTGGTTTTGAAAGGAAAAAAAAGCAAGTACTTTAGTGCAGTAATTGTTCTAAATCAAGGATTACTGCAGTGAGTTCTCTAAATTAAATGTTCCAAAGATACCAGTTCTTTTTAAAACTTAAACACGACTACTTTATTTAGATTTTTTAATGGCAATTTAAAAAGCCACTTACCCATTTTGCAAAAAAAATTGCTCCCAATAGAGGTGTCAGCATTATGTAGCACGTTGTCCCAAACACACTATGTAGTGAACAGCTGCCTGTCTTAAGGACGAAAGGTCTTTCAGCTCTAATAGTCAAGGAGAAAAAGAATTCAAGAGCCAAAAATAACATCTCTGCTGTTAACATACAGTGAGCAAGCACCATGTGTTGGGCTCATTCATAGATCAAAGACCTTTCACATACAGCAACTGTGGGAAAGGGTAATATGCAAGGCTTAGGATGCTCCCATGAGACCACCTGAAAGAGTGACCATGCTATCCTGGAATACCCTCTGTGACTCGGGCTGGTGTCCGCTCCTGCCCCCCACTGTTAACTGGCGTTTGTTCCTGCAGGACCAAAAGAGCAAATTGACCTGGGCCCTCAATTGTAGCACACCAGCTTGTCAGTGGAAACGGATGAGCTGGTAAAAATGGCCTAGTGATGATGGTGTTATCCTGGCAGGAAGACTAGGTTTAAATCCTTGTGATATGGAATAAATTATTCCAGGTCAGACTCAAAACACCACCTCAATTCCTGATGTGCAATTTAGGTAGAAGTCAGCATCAAACCACATCTCTTGTGTGCCTGTATTTCCCACAGAAAATGTCTTTAAGGATTTAAATGCTCCTACTTAATAGTTGAGTTAATTATCCAGACGCTTCTGTACAAGCATTTATAAACCCACTCTCTCTCTCCATGCTTCATTCCTTGCATGCACCAGAACCAGTTCACAGTACAGGTAGTCCCATTCATAAACACAGGATCTCCTAGCCTTGTAGCTAGAAAACCTTCCCCCTCCCCTCAGTGAGAAAACAGCAAAGAGCAAAGACACAGAACAGGGCAGTTGAGCCCGGATTATTTACAGCTAATCAGGCCAACATCACAGGATGGTCTGGCTCCTCAGGCTTCTGGATCAACTGGACCAGAGCCATTTCCCCTCTGTTACATAAAAGAACAATGCTTCAGGCTAACTTTGGCTTCTTTACACCGCAAGTGATGACAGATTCACTAGTTGTGCTTATAGGGACTCACCAGTTCTAGAGAATTATCTTCTGTTGTAGCTTCCACTTTGTCTTACCCAGTAGAAAAGGCAGTAAATTAGTTGCACAAGTGATATCTCAGTGGTTAGGTCAATTTGCAGCAAATGTGGGACCTTAAGGACCCAATCCTTGCTCCAGGCTGTAGGACAGCAGAATCTGGAGCGTCAGTTTTCTGCACTCCTTTGAAACTGCTACAGTGCACAAGGCTTTGAAGCAACCATTCCATTTCCTGATGGCCTCCTGCTCCAACTGATCTTCATGGTGGCTAATTAGGCTAAAGCAAGCCAGCAGAAAATGAAGGACACTGCAGAGACTAAGAAATGCCCACTAACCTCTCCAGTAACACAACTGCAGTTTGTTCCCTTGCATTCACAAGGGGGCTAAAAGCCAGGAAGCCTCTTCTCCAGCATAAGGACCTAACACAAAGCAGGAAAGAAGGGGGGAAAGAAGTGACTCCACAAATAGCCAGAAGCCTGTCAGCTATGAACACATTTCTTAAGTCAGGTCAGTAACAAAACTACTGGGCTAAGAAGTTAGCCAAAAGGAGAGCAGCTCTAATAGGGAAATGGTCTGCTGTAACACAGAAGTTCTGAGATAAAGCCAAAACGATGCTTCCAAGATGAAACTAGACAGTGTGCTCCAGCACATTCATTTTTCCACATAACAGGCTAGGGAGAGAGCCTCTGGATTAATGTATTAAATTTATCCTGTGAATCTCCTCACAGATACACAGATCAGCTTTAGAAAGCAAGCAAGCAAACAAGCATCTGCTGCCCCAGGAAAAGGGACATGTCTGCCAGAAATATGCGACGTGAACCTCTTAACCACCAGCTTTCAGCCAGGTCAAAGCAAGGCCTGAAAGTCTGGTCCCCATCCTTTCAGATACTCATACCCTTAGGCCATGTGCTTTTAATGATGTGTTCTCTCTGGGTGGCACACTCCTCCTGCAACGACTTCACTGAGCCACAGAAGCAACATGTGCTTGGCTGGGGTAACAGTCACTTTCTTACCTGGTCTGGGATACACATGAACCAGCAGAGCTAGGAGTAAAATTTCCATCTGCCTCAAACCACAAGAGCAATTCACCCAAGAACTGGTCTGTCCTGTTCACTGCTGAGAAAGGTAGCTACAACAAAATAAAATCTCCAGCAGAATAGAATAAGATACTCCACAATTTAATGGTGGTCAAGATGCTTGGAGAGCAGCTGTCTGAATTTGGAGGAATTTCCTACAGCTAAGTGGCTGAAAAATCCTGCAGGATAACAATTAGGCTGAGGTAGGACCATCTCTGTGTCTTCTTTTAAGACACAGAGAATAAGCCACAGAAAAATGGACTCTGATCTTGACAAAGAAAATGCTATATAAGAGCTAGTTCTCAGCACCTGCCTGTGACAGTGCAGTGCTGGGTAACAGAAGAGACAACACACACTAGAAATGGCAGTGGCTATATCCCTTGACTGAGATGAAGTTTCAAAGCCTAAGATGGACAAGATTCTTAATATCTAGTTGTTGTTTATGCTACCTTGAAATATGTTTCCATCTTACTCTTATGTGCAATGTTTTGTCACGACTAACATCACCAGCAGCAACTTCTTCCTCTCCACTCAATCCTAAATTAGATAGGCACTAATCGTATTTCCAAACATGCCACTGTTTCCCACTGAAACCTGCTAGCTCAAACTCTTCATACAATGTCCTGAAACAACTCACAAGCAGAACACCTTAATCTAAAGTCCCTCAACAAATTTAAGAATGAGTGGTTTTAATCACTGTTTGAAAATTGAGACTTTACAAGGAAGATTTTGACTATGGCCTAAAGCCTGCAAAGTTCTTCAGAGTATACATTAATTGGGGTTGAAGGATTCTTGCTAACTCCTATCTTGAAATCATTCTATTCAAAGGTATCTAACACATGCTGGATTTCCAGCTGCCATGTACAACACCAAACTTTTGTTACTTCTCTCTCTAGTCCTCAGCAGATGCAGCAGCTTCTCCAAAAAAACTTCCTTCCATGCAGAAGGCAGAAAAAGTGTCTCTCTTTCCCTACCAGTAGCCAAAAATATACATGGAATATTAGTTAAAAGAAAGCAAGCTTTGTGGGCAAGCAAGCATTAGCAAACTGCTATACTTAAATCTGAATAACCTGCTGTAAGGGCACTGCTTTTGTTTAGACTGATTTATCCATTTAGATTGCTTTTTAGATTTTAATTCCCAATTTCAATATAAATAAGTTGTAATTTGAGCTAGGTGCCTGTGGGTTTGCACTACTCATAACAGGAATTAAAATGACATTCTAAGTCAAACTGATACTAGCCATAGCTAAGCCCAGTCTTATCTGACACTCAAACTGTTCATTCCCTAAAAACATAATAAAAGCCATTTTTCAAGAATCACAGCCCTTATTGGAAACTTCCCTCCTTGTAATGTTAGCTGCTGTCGTAGAAAAGCTCTGCCTTTTGCCCAAAAACAGCCTTTGGGTGAAGATTGTGCCTACTGTATGATCATTTGACATATTCATCACCATTTGCTATTATTCTTCCCTTCCATCAACTTGCTACTTTAAACGTCACATGTCAATAGGCTAAGCAACATTTTCAGCTCTAAGCCTATGCAAATAATCTTTAGAGGATAACTCTGCCCTTGAGGTAAACTTATATGCTCATCTTTTATTCTAAGACAACCAAATGTCCTTACAAATTTAGATCCAAGTAACAATACTGGCTTCAGTTCATAGATTTGCCAGTTTAGCATCAAGTTAGGCAACAATAGCTTTCAGTCCTAGCCAAAAATAAAATGCCAAGTCTTTAAGAAAGGCTTCTTCCTTAGTTCCAATTGACGCTTTTGTTTAAAGAAATAAAAAAGATTGTATCAGGAAAACCACTTATGTGAAATTAACAGCATCTTTCCCTCCCCCTCCAATATTCTCTCTCCTTTTTAAAATAAAAATTTACCACTTTAAAAACTTCATCTAATACTGAAGAAATTAATTTCACCAAGTATCTTCTGTCTCCTACTCTATAAACCAAGCTATTAAAATGCTTATCATAGATCTCACTCTTCACAGACACTGCCGTTCTCCTAAAAGCACCCTGAATGGGTTTAGAATCCACAGCCTCATTCAAATCAGCTCTTTCAATGAAGTATTTCCCTGTAGCCCACTTCACCCACACTCAGACGACTCAAACAAGTTTTTCAGGCACATAACACATTATTTGGGTGCCCAACTTTCACTGCTGGTTCTTTGACACTAATGTCATGATAGCACCCAGAAATCAATCTACAAACAGTTGTGATAACCCTCTGGCTCAAATGAAAGTGAAGCAGGCGTATGAAGAATCAGGAGGCAGTATTTTTTTTCCTGACAGAAGCATAGACTGATGGCTACTGTCTGAAATTACTAATTAGCAGCATGAGCAAAGTTTTGTCTTGCAACTGATTCTGTTCAAGTAGATAAACAGCAAACATAAGAGGGAAAGGCTGAAAACTGGTGCTTGCTTTCGCATTCTCTCAGGAACTGAATGGGGGGTGGGAGAACTTGTCATTAAAATCCACACCAGTTCTCTTCTAATATTCCCCACTCTTTGGCAAATGAAGTTCAAGATTTAATAAAACTAGGACCTCCAAAATCAAACTCTTCCATTAATACTACTTGAGAGGCATTTTAGTGCCGAAAAGAAATCACTGGAAGATGAGATACCTCACCTGCTTAGACATCCTGCAAAACATCACCAGGCTTCCAACTGAAACAAAGGCTTTTAGAAATCTCAGCCTAAATTGCAAAGACAAATTGCTACATCAGCTGTAAGGAACCCACTAGCCCTCTTGTAGTCTTCAGAGAAATAAGGACTTCAAGCAGTTGTCAGAAACATTTTACCTTTTACAACCTCTTTATAGAGGAAAACCTACAGCTAAAAAGGCCTGTGAAATATAAATGCAGTATATCTTATACCTACTTACGCTTGCCAGCTTTGCTGGATTCAAACCAGCACGTCTCAAGTTAACGCGAAGTAGTTAAGATTCAGAATTGAAGTGAGGGCTTCCAGTGGCTGCAGTACTCCAATCCAGCTCAGGGCATCACTGCATGCTGAGGAGTCAGTGATTAGAGTGGTTCCTTCATCAGATCATAGACCATTATGTTAAGTATGCAGGCCCTGCTACCACCAGAGCAGGGAAATCTCGGCCTGTAATCAAAACCCACATATTGTAAATGTGTGGTTTTATCAATTCCTGTTGCACAAATGTTTAATAGATCTATTTGAGTATGCAAGGATAATTAAGAAAAAAAAAAAAAAAGATGAATTTTATTTGGTGCTAAATTCACCACATGTAAATTCCAGCTGTTTACTGCAGACCTACCACCAAGCATACGCTTCTTCCCACGGCTCATCAGAAAGCCTCTCACTGGCGAAAGTGGTTAATCCACAAGATTTTTGTTGCTGAAGCCAAGACTCCAAATGGGGGCTTTAGGTTACTAATGACAAAAATTTTGCATTCTTTAACTAGTGAGTACTGTAAGGGTTTGTCCATTTACAGAAAACCACCCTAGAAGTGGTTGCTGGCAGAGAAACAGGACCAGAATAGAAGAAGTTGTTACCAGGCAGGACTGAGATGCACCAAGCAAAGCAGCAGTGAACAGGCTAGGAAAAAATCCTGTTATCTGGCAGCATGAAACAGCCAAAGTAAGCGACAAGTTCCTTAGTGCCCGCCAAGAAAAAGCCTTGTGCTAAAATATCCTCCTATGCCCTGGCCAACTTACAGCATCTGACCCAAGGCTGGAAACAAAACTTGGCCTTATGCCTCATTTTGATGCCTCATGCCACCACATGACAAAAGAAACAGCTCCTTTAATAACTAGGTTTAGTGCTTTGTATTATTCCTACCCCAGAAGCAACCAAAACATCCAGCCAGCATTAGAGCTTTATGGTGCTGGTTTCTCTGCAAAGAATGCACTGCTGCAAGTTATTTGCAATTTATAGAAAACCAAATAGAAAACCTCTAAGGGAATAGAAGAGTGAACAAGTGTAAATCTGCTCCATGGGCACACAAACCTAAATCTGATTAATATATTATCAGTAACAACCCCAGACCTCATTACATACTGTTCTGTGATCACACACATTTAACTTAGGACTCTGCGTAGCACTGCATTTATAAATGCAAAAGTATACTGGATAGCAAATGGTACATAAAAAGGGATTCCAGTTTTCATGTGAACTTTCGAGAAGATCATAAAATTCAAGACAGGTCATTCTACAAATCATCTTTAAAATTACCAGGTTGCGCCTCTACTTAACCCCTCTCTAACAGAATTCAGCAGAAGCACTTCCCTTTGGCTGTGAACAATAGGAAAAGCTGCTGAAGGAAGATATAACATGAAAAGATCTAGCTCTGAAAATAATCACAGCATCTGCTTTTGCTCCTGGTCTCAGCTCTTCCAGAAAGCACAGGGAAATAGGCATCATTCAGGACAGTTTTATAATTGCTTATGAGGTTGCATAAGTGTAGTGAATAAAAAACCTGAGATATGGGTCACTGCTGTGGTACTAGTTAGAAAAATAAGAATATAGCACTGTAGCTACAGGCACAAGAAGACTCTTGCCTCTCTTGAAAAAATTAACTTCAAAACTGTCAGCAGTAAATTTTCAGGGAAAGTTGGGAACTACAAACTATAAAAGCAGCCACTTGGTACTGTAAAATGGCTTTCTCTAGATATAAGAATAACAAACATGCACCAATCTTTGGCAATTATGTGTTAATAACTTAAAAGTTCATAGTCTGAACATTTGCAATAACCATCATATACATATATTAAAATGGACACAGGCTTGAAGAGCAATACTCTGAGATATGGAAAGCATTTTGTATCCCGTGATGCTACACACTGGATGCTTTCAAAAAGAATTCACTAGAGAACAGCAAGCATCTGTACTTTCACAGAAGTTCTATCTCTTGGAAAGGAAAAGAATTTTTCATGAAGTAAAATAAGTCAGTATCAGCAGAAACAGCACGTTTCATGTCCTCATGGTTGATACTCTTCCTCTTTTGGGGAGGCAATCTGGAAACACATCTTTTTCAGATGCCTTTCTCTTTCTAATAAGTACAGATTTTACCAATCACATTTTGCTACACTTAGAAAGTTTCTTGTTTTTTTCTTGTTTTCTTCTCCAGCCTGATAAACCTTCTTTAATTTATAGTAAGAGGATCTACAAAAGAGATCGACAAGCCTCAAAGGTTTCAGAAATACCTGAAAATGTGATAAAAGCCTTAACCACAGAACAAACATTAGGAGAAGAACCACCAAATATGGCATTAACAAAACAAAACCAAAAGTCTGAATCTCATTTTGAAGTCACTATGATGCTTTTCAGAAGCCTGATTCACTGCTGGAGCACTGGGCTTGTAGCACTGGATCTCATGACTCTGAAGAGCCCATGCTAGATGTTGTACTAACTCCTGCCTTGTCAATAGCCTGCCGTTTATATAACAATTGGGTTTAGAGGGACGTTTACATTGTCACTTCAAAACCCTTTGGTCAGAAGGCTTGGGGGGAAAATACAACTTGTGTAGGACAGAAGAAACAAGTTGTTTTATGCAGTTGCTCACTCAACCCTTCCTTCCTGCTGTGTAAAACAAAGCATAGGTTCACAAAACTCCCATCTGGACAGAGCTGGACCATTCACTCCAAGGTAGCTACTCATTTCCAGTGGCTAGATTTCATCAACAGACAACTGAAATACATTAAAATTCTTTGGCAATCCTGTTTTCCCAACTAAATTCCTACCAAGGAGATATTCTGTAAGTCTCCATGAAGAAGGAAGGAGGAAGCAATAAACTGCATTTTCCATTCCAGATTCAAATCTATATTGCAAGTTGGTATCTATCTTCTAAGAAAATTAATCTACAATAATATACTGGAAAAAATCAATGATTTGCAAACACAGATGCAGATTCAGAACTTTAGGACATCTGCACTCAATAAACAGGCAACTGTTACTACTGACCCACATACAAGTATTCTTGTGCTCAGTGCCATTAATAGGAAATACTTCATTTGTTAGAGCAAAGCTGACTTTCAACTTCTACACAGTTCCTCTTCAGATCAAACCTTACTGCCACCTCTTACACTTTATACTCCATACACCACTCATGCAGAGCATCCTCCTCCAGTCCAGTTAAGATTCTGCTTTCATCTCCCTCTAGTAGGGTTTGCCGTGCTCCCATCTTCTCCCCAGCCACATCAGCAGCAAGGAAGACCATAGATGGAGCATGTTTGGCAGATGAAATGACCCAGATGCTGAATCTGGAGCCATCTTCCCAGCTGCAGTAGCTGGGCTCACATCCGACTCCTCAGCTGCTGGCTGTCAAGCTCCCCTCAAGCTGTGCCAAGCATACAGCTCAAAGCTTTGACTGAAGTGGGGCAAATGCTCTAAATCTGTGAGGCCTGCTGACAAAAAGGAAAACAAAGGCTGAAGGTTTTAAAAGTAGGTAGTGAGAGAAATCAAACACCCTTCCTCCTTTCTCTTCTATTCCTCTTTTATTTTTTGCCTCCATAATCCTTTTCCTTGTTAATAACAATTCAAGAGGAGCTGACTGGTGAGAGTAGGTCTAACGTACCATGTCACAGTCTGAGGTACTAACTAGCAGAAGATTCCCCTTCACTCATCAACACTCCATGCAGTGGAAGGTGCCTCATGTACCTCCATATCAAGTCACAGGCATAGCAAGGGCTGGGAAATAATGTTTACTGAGGGAAAGGTGGAGACAGACAATTCTGTTATTTCATTACTTATTCTTTAAGTCTCCCAGAAATCTTCAAAGTGTCAGAGCTGCAGAAGTTCTTACACAAATCAGGAGCAACTATTTAACACCCTACTTCTGACCAATTTCATCATGATCTTGAACCCAAGAAAGGACTTCTACATCCTCCATGCTTCCTCACTGAGGAGCAAAAGAAAAGGCTTACCTTGATTCAATGACCTGTCATTCAACTACCATTGTGTGTTCTCATCTAGATTTAAGGAAGAGTATTTGAAGTTTTGGCCCTTTGCCTCACCTGTGCTCATCCTCACACAGCACTCCACATGGTAATAAAATAAACCATCCCCACCCACCAGTAAAGTACCTCCACATGGCCTATTTGCTACTGAGGAAAGTAAGCCTCTTCTGAACCAGCAAGCCAAACTTACAAATGCCTCTTTCAGGTTTAGGTATTACACACATAAATACTGTACCCGTTAGAGAACCTGAAAGGAAAACAATGGTTTAGAGAAAGTTTCTTTTTCTAAAACATCACATTCAGGAGTAAAAAATATTTTGCACATTTAATATTACATAGCCTATGCCTGGATATAAACCTAAATGTTTCCAAATTAAAAATAAATATGATCTTACAAGTAAATGGAGCAGCATCAATTTAATTCTGCCTAAATGTTTTTGTAAAAAACAAATAGGTTTTTTTTGAGTCACAGAGCGAAAAAATGTTCCCATTTTTAATTACTACATAAAACAGGAGTTCTGAAGGTAACTTCACCCTACAGCACTTAAAAGTCACTAATCTGAATTACAGGCACCGAGAACCTTCAAGTGAAACAGACCTCCAATGCAGGAAGTGGACTACATTTTAGGGAACCAACTCATTTTAGCAATATCTTAGTAAAGGAATGAGAATGTCTACAGGACCATTTAGTTCCTTTAATCTTCTTCTTTCAAGACAAGCAACTCAATCAGAAAACCTGTAATTAGGAACCAGAATCCAATAAACCAATAGTTTTTACTCTCTACTTAGATATTTTTGTGTTATTGTGTGCAAGGAAATTGACATCTGTCAGCCTCAGTTTTCTTATATGCAATCTGAATGACATGCTGGGGAGGGAGGAAGAAGCAACTTAAGAGTTAAATATTCATAAATTCTTTACTTAAAAAGTTATCTAAGCACTCAGTTTGCAGATAAAAAAAACACACAACGTAAAAGAAGGCTAATACTCAGCTGAACTGGAACCCCAACCCTCATATTTGCTCTGCAGTACTTGGAGAAAGGGCAGGATTTGCAGCACACCTGCCATGTGCAAATCCAGGCTCTGCTAAACCCCAAGGAAATAAAGTTGCAAACCAGAAAGTGCCTCACAGAGCCAGACACACCTATTTGTTTACACAGCACAGACTCCAGTTTCAATCCCCCTTAAGTACTGTACTATAGTAGTAGTGTAGTGAGTAAAAATGACACTTAAAATGAAGACCCAGTAAATAAAGCCAATTTATAGGACTCTAGAAAGCATACAGAAGCTTTCACCAGATTCTTAGCTTAGTCAATAAAAAAGAAACCTATTATTAGGCCCTTCAGAATAGAAACCTCTTCAGTATGTTTCTACAGTACTGAGCAAAAAGGGGGCCCTCAATCGGTAACTGAATATTGCCGAAAATTCCAACACAAATGATGAATTCTGCTTTTAAACGCCTTATGGGGAACCTTCTGACCAGGTGACAGCCTGGAGGATCCTTAAAAAGCCATTGGAGGATTTTTTTATTTTTCTTTAAACAATACGACCTTCAAAAAAATTATTGTTCAAGGCACGGCAATTTATACCTGCAGATTAGCACTTCACTTAAGAAGAACCCTAAGAGAACACCACTGCCTTTCCCTGGCTACATTTGCCAGAGTGAAAAGAGACTGCCACCCGGTGGACTGCAACCGAGTACATCAACTGCAAGCCATGACAATCAATATAGAACTGTTGAAAATTTTATTTTTAAGAAAGTGCGGTTATTTTCAGGATTTTCCCCGTCAACATAATAATGTTTCAAATACATAAATTTGCTTTGCATTCTGTCCTGCACCTGGAAAATCAGCATTTGCATGAAGGCACTGTACATATAAGGCTTTTCAGAATTACAAGAAAAAAATAATCTACCAAATTAAGCTTTTACCATAGAAATAGTTAGCTAGTGCAATCACTCAGTTCAGAGGTGGGTTATATGTTCTAAATGCAGCTTGTGCCACCCTTGGGAAGGTTTTAACACAATTCACCTGTAATATAGCAATGCTGAATAGCATACACAGATTGTTTAACACCTCTCAAGGTTTGAAGTTCATTTGTATTTGTAAAATCCTTCTCCAGTCTTCTTACCCAGCTTCTTTTCTTGTACCAGTTTATTCAGGAGTGGGCTGGGTGCAAAAAGAGGGTTGTTGGGCTCTAACGAATGCCATCCTGGTGGAAAAGAAGTGGATGAATTAGTAACAGTTCTGTTTATATGCAAAGATAATAGAGATCTGCATCTCTCTAGAAAAGTATTACGAGGTCAGAAAATGGAAGGCCTGGAATTTATTCTAGACAATCTGAGATCTTTCAACACAGCTTCATAAAGCACAGACCAGGACTGATGATTATGAGCAAATCTGAACACGTTATAATCTCCATGACTGAGGATTTTTAATACTTAAAAAAAATTAAGGAGAATTTTTAAAATATAGTTCAGTACAGGAAATAAAACAAAGACTATGCTGAAAAGAAATTCAAGTGCAAAGAAATTCCAAGTTGAATTTCTAACCATTGAAAGACATGGTCCACCAGAATAATATAACACTACTCCACAGTGCTGGATAAAAGCAGAGGTTTCACTGAAGATGCCATTTTTAAAGTCTCATTCTGCCTTGGAGAAAACTTAAACTGCACATTCAAAATAATACAACCATCAAGTTATCCCCAATTATGTTGGGATTTTTCTGTAATTGTGCTAACATTCATCCACTTAACTGAAGTGAAAGGGAGATGGCATACTTGCATCTTTTAAGGCATTTACTCGGTTTCATATTAATTGAGAATGAAAATGTGGCTGGCAGAAAAAGGAGAAGGAGTCTAAATATTTATTCTTTTTCATCAGAATTTCTTACCTCCAGCATGTGTCTCTCTTCCCACTGGTTCTTTTTAGTTACATAAAGTTCCACTATAAATTATTATTTCCCACTGGAACTTGACAAAGCTAGCAAAAACACCTCTGTTCTGTCCCCACGTACATAGGGTGCAGGCATACAGTACAAATGCTGCACTCATAACAACATTCTGAGCTGAATTCTCATTCCTTTCTCCTCGAGAGTTAATGGGCTATGGCATAAACATTCAGTTTAAACTACTTCAGATTTTCATTAGAACATTAATATACAACTTAGCTAAAAAGGAGAAAAACAGAAGAAAACAAGCATGCAGTACCATCTATAATGTATTTGCTGGTATCCAACCCAACATAGTCCAGCAGTTCAAATGGACCCATGGGATAGCCAGCCCCAAGCTTCATAGCAACATCAATATCTTCCTTTGATGCATCTCCTAGAGAAAAGATTGACAGTTTGATGAAGAGAGAAGACTCCGCATCTACTTGGCACCACTTATAAATAATTAAGAGGGTGTTATTTCACCCTGGTGCAGCTCTTCACAGAAATCTCTGCACGTTTCAGAAACACAAGAACTGGAGTCAGCATACACTTGCTGCAGTATAAAGCTGAATCTCTCACAAAAAAAGTAAAAGCCTGCAGGCCCACTTTCTATTTTTCAAGCTTCCTCTTGCCTTTCAATACAGATTACTACGCTGTTGATGGAGTCACAGTTACTGCATTCAACTTCTCAGAAAGACCAAAGGAAGAACTGGTCCACTGTGAAGATTCAGAAGTTTCTTTTAGAGGCAGCTGAACAGTGTAAGTAAGAAAATATCTAAATTTCAGCTTCATGGGATCAGCAGCAGCTTTTGAATGATGCACAGGACAGCACTTCCCTTTCTCTAAAACAGCCAGAAGGCAAGCAATACCCAGCTGACAGACCAAGCATGGGGAGGAGAGCAGCAGCAGCTGAGTAACATGCTTAGTTACAGCAGCTTTCTCACGAGGATATTCATCAGCATCTGAGATGGCAGATAAGAGTGACATATGAAGACAGGCTGAGAAAGTTGGGGCTGTTCATCCTGGAAAAGAGAAGGCTGCGTGGAGACCTCGTAGCAGCCTTCCAGTATCTGAAGGGGGCCTGTAAGGATGCTGAAGAGGGACTCTTCACTAGGGGCTGCAGTGATAGGACAAGGGTTAACGGGTTAAAACTTAACCAGGGGAAGTTTAGACTGGATATAAGGAGGATGTTCTTTCCTGTTAGGGTGGTGAGGCACTGGAATGGGCTGCCCAGGGAAGCTGTGAATGCTCCATCCCTGGCAGTGTTCAAGGGCAGGCTGGACAGAGGCTTGGGTGACATGGTTTAGTGTGAGGTATCCCTGCCCATGGCAGGGGGGTTGGAACTAGATGATCTTAAGGTCCTTTCAAGCCCTAACTATTCTATGATTCTGTGACCTGAAAAAAGCTGTGCAAGTGCAGTTAAATTTGTGAAATCCAAACCTATATATATATACATAAATCAAAATACATATAAATTGAAATTATCAGAAATTTTTTACTTATACTTCAGTCTATGCCTACAAAAACACAAATCTTGCATTGCCACATTATCACAGTTAATATTCACCTCATCCGTTTGCTGGAAATGCATATTTTATACTGTCAGGAAAGCAGATGCACCTCTACTGCTTATGTTTAATACCCATTTTGATAAAAGCACTGTACTTCTTTGCAGATTCTACAAGAAGGATAAAGTTAAACAAACCCCATAGGTACTTGTTAAGTAATTTCCATGCTTGATGCGTACAGGCATTCAGGGTGTCCAAAAGCTTGGCAGACATAGCCTATGAAATTTATAAACCTAAGATCAGAGAATCTCAGAAACTAATTTTCAAAATTTCTTGAAAGGCAACAGCTTCAGTGGCAGTTCTGTATGAAGCAGTAATTTTTATGTATCTCCTTTTACTCTTTAGAGCTGACATTTTTCCTCTTTTTTAAACCACATTTTATTTCTGAAGAACTGGGAAAATGAGCCTTACTTAATTCTAACCATTTAAACTCCCCAAATTCTGACACACGTACACTGTCAACTCATCTGAAGGTGATGCAGAAGTACATACTTCTTATATCAACAGATTTATCCCATTTTGTTTGTCAAACTTGGGACTTGGCCACTTGACAGTATACAGCTTTGTTACAATACAATAAAAAATAGTAAAAGGGCAAACCAGGGTAGTACCCCTAGGTCATACTAATATCCTACTATAAAAGAGACTTCCATAGGAACTTGACTGTCTGCTTAGTTTTCCACTCATAAAAGGGCAGTGCATTACACCATACATTAATATTTATAGTATGTCACCTGTTAAAATCACTGTTAATATATTAATGGTATTTTGCCTATGCAAAAGTGCACATTTAACACAAGGAGAGTCTGTAGAAATAGACTCAAGGGCTGACCCAATAAAATGGTATTTCAGTGCTTGGTGTTGCCAGGAAAGAGATCCGATATCATACTAATGTGGATGACAATCTGGCTCATGTGTCTACTCTGAGAATTAACAGAAAGGATATGATAAAAATTTAACCTGATTCAGTGGAAAATAAGAATTAGAAGACAGCCATCAGGCTCATGAAAACATTATCCAGCTTTTTAAATGGATTTCATTTGAGTTAAAAATTCATAAATGAACTTTAACAAGTCTGGAAATACCATACCGATGAACAAAATACAAACAGAATAAAGATTAAATCAAAATATTGTTTTGCTTCTGCAGAAAAGTCAATTTTAACATACAGCCCCAGTGACTTTTTTCTTCTACGTTTAATTAAAAGTTCTAGTGTCTCCTGAAATATGCACAATGATACATGTCACTTAACAAAAGCACCTCTTCTACACACACTGGAACACCTATACACTTTACTTAAAATTGTGACTTTTTCTAAGAGAATAATGGCCCCTCAAATCCATGCCTTTCAAGTCACTAAATTTGCTCTTTTCTCCTTTTGACATGTAATTAGGTATATCTGTTGATGGATAAACAAGTAGTGTTGATTTGTATTTTTTTTTCCTGGAGATCAAACCATCACTTCCATGTGATATAAGAGATTTATAATACTTAATATTTAAAGCATATTTTGGGGAATCCTCATAATGGAGTGCTTTCATCTGTAAAAAAAAGCAGACTTCAAAACCGAAATGTTTCAAATGCCATTCTTAGTAGCACAGAACTATGAGCAGAGCGCTTTAAATAAAAGTAATTATACTCTGTAATTTTCTCTTTATCCACTAAATTACTGGCTTGTTTCTTTTTCAAAACAACTATCAATGCTTTGAAAAATTTAGCGGTTATTTGAGGATTTTTGATTATTTCTACCTACCCTCAGTATCAAAGAGACCAGGAGTGAGATAGGAGTTCCTAAAGAACCTACATCTAAACGAAGACACAGAAGAGAAACAGGAGGTTTTAAGTGGCAGTAGATTAACCCAAATATTTGCATACCAGTACCAGTGTGACACTACTTACCTCACCTATAAATAGGTGTTTTATTTCACAAGCCAATGCAAGTGAACTCAGGAGAACTTTACTAATTGTCCAATGGGATTTTCAATCATTTTCATTAACATCTTTAGGGACTGAGAGAGGGAGGTTCCAGTTAGTTGGCAGAGGATATTTTTGCAGTGGTACTACACTCACCTTGTCATCTCCAAACCAGAAACATTTTTCACCACCAGAAATTTCCCACACAAGTAACTAGCACCTTCTGACTCTGCACACATTGATATCTCAAAGTGCAGAGAAGGTCTTCCTAGTGACACATATTGGCTCATATTTGATGTTCACTGTTCACTTCCAGCCTTTAAGTTCTGAAAGTTTTGAGGGAATCCCAAGGCTTTTCTGAAGGGATATAACATTTCACAGTGTTGTACATCAACATTCCCTGAAGTCAGTATCCCAGCAAGTACCTCTTTCAAAAAGTCGAACAGCTTCCATCATATATGGCACCAACAGACGGTTCACAATAAACCCTGGAGTATCCTATGGAAAGAAAAATAAAGGATTCTAAATAAATATTCTTTACAAGTACTACACTCAAAAGCTACATAACAAGTCAAACAAGTAGATGAAGAGACTTATTGAATCATCAACTTCCAGTACTCTCTAAATCTTATTTTTCATCTATCTGCTCAGTATTAAAAGACAAAAGATGAACTTCACAAACAAGGAATGGCACATAAACATTCATCGTGACTGAGAACAATAAGACTATTACAAGCCCAACTCAACCTTAATTTATGTGGCCATTTGGCAAATGACTTTTGTTTAGCAAAATTCTGCTGATACAATTTCCTGAAAGACACAAGAAGAGCTGTTCTTTTTAACACTTGTGTGTTCACTACCAGAAATGCTTCTGGCTAAAAAGTCTACTTCTCCCTCACTGCTCACTGGCAAACAATGCTTTTGAAAGCTAGGATCACTTCAATAGCAAACACCAGTGGTATGAATGAAAAGGTAAAGATACATGCCATCAGAAGATAACAAACTGATACACAACTTCTTTTACACAAACTTGAATCAAAATCCAAAATACAAAAAAAAAGTGTTTTGCAAATTCATAACAATAATTCACCACATATTCTGCACATCACATACTGCAAAGCTGTGACAGAAACAGGAAAAAAAGTCAACTAAGGCCACAGAGCAATTTAGCAGTAGAGCCTGAATTAGAATCCGGCATCCAGATGCTGAATCTGGTAACTACCAGATTGCAGGCCCTTCTTTTTATGACCAAATGTCTCCTGGCAGCTGTGAAATGCAAGGCCATAGCTTGCACAAAGCTACCCAGACCACAGCTTAATGGATTTGGAAGAAAAAAGCTGCAAAGCAGTGAAGACTAATATTGGTCTAGTTACTGCAGTCTTAAGAAAAACTTGCAGTGAGCAGCACACACCATGGAAGATTCATCCAGCTACCTTATAGTAGAAGAGGTAGCAGTTTTGTTTCTAGCATGGCTAAAGATGAACTCCTGCTTAAGCTCCCCAGCCCAGGCTTCTGGAGGACTGGAAAAGAAAAAAAACAAAAACTGTAGCCCTGATACTTGTGAGTTTTGCTACTCTAGACAGGATGCCAAGAGTCACTCTGCTTTGAGAAATACGTAGTAAATGTGGCTGTTTGGCCAAAATTCTTTTAATGGTGAATAGAAACTGGACAAAAAGCAGCCTAGAAAATCTTACCAAGTGCTCTTATATTTAACTAAGACCTACCACTTCAGCGTTTTTTAAGATCAGACCTTCTGAACACTATACAGTTAAAATGTACTCACCTTACAACTGACAGGACTCTTTCCTACTGCTTTACTGAAATCCACAAGTGACTCAAAAGTTTTTTGGCTGGTCATTGGAGTCTTAATGACCTGGTCAGAGGGAAGGTAAGGAGAGCATAAGAACATTTATGAGCAGAATCTCTCCCATTTCCCAGTACAGCAATGATTAAACTGTAAACCAGAATACTATTCCAGAAATTCACAAAACTTTTGTTTTGCAAAAAAACCCAACAATTTCAGTGGATATATATGTATAATAGACACAGAATTCTATTTTAAAGACAGATACATTTTGCACATTTTGAAATTACGCGTTTATTTAAGACACTTTCCTACTACGGATGGTAAAAGGAACAATCCTTACATAAACAAGTATGATAAAATAACTTTAAAAGCTACATAGTCTGTTGTCTTGGGAAACACAATGGCACCACTCTAGAGAACCACATTAACAGACATAGCTCCTGATATAAAGGGTTGTAACATCTACCCTCTGCCCAATGTAAACATGATGCAGATATTTAATTCTAAAGAAAATTTTAAATCTATTTTCAAATTTGTGACAGCCTCTTAGCTTCGAGTAGTATGTTCCCATGTTGATCTTCTTCACAACTGAGTCTGTCATCACATGTAGTATTTTCTAAACTTCACTGGAGTTGGGATGCCTTAAGTAATTTATTACAGACCTACCCTGCACTCCCCTCACCCTCCCCCACAAAAAAAAAAAAGACTTGCACACGCTGAAATGGTTGTGGTATATTTCTGTTGAAACTGAACTCCATGTGCAGCAACTGAAAACTGCTCTACATGAGCAGTTAAGGCTGACCTCCTTGTTCATACTATTAAGTCATACACAGATTCCGTCCCTCTTACTGAAGCAAGACCAAGACAAAAACAGGCTGTTAAAACTGAGGAAAAGGCTTGTTTCTCATCAGAAAGAAAAAAAAAGTGTTCTTTGATATTAGATTAAAATATCTGGGATTCTTACATAAGACTGCAACAGTCTCAAGAATGAGTTTTTAATATGCACTTTAGATTTTTGAATCCTTAGCACTAGCTTTTTGGATTATTAGAAAAATAAATCCTCTCAAAGCTGTGTGCTTCTAAGCACGAGACAAATAATCTGTGAAAAGAGCAGATAAGACTCAAACGCACTGCACATTTGTCACCCGTGAAGGACGGATTCCATGACAGATGACTGGCAATTTCAGTAATGTCTTTTGTCGTTTTGGCAACTCTCTTGATTTCCCCCCAGTTATTTCAAATCAAAACATCTGTTTTACACAGCAAATGTTGTTCTGCAGTGTCTGTCAGTGTCAACCGTGGTCTACAGCAGTAGATCAGAAACAAAAGCGAAGCTTTAAAAAATGTATTTACCTACTAATACTGGAACCTTTCAAGATCAAGTCAACAGAAGCAGAGCTTCTGTGTTTTAAAGCTCTTAAATACTACTCATCAACTGGAGTCACACTGAGGTAGAATGTTCACAGGTCAGGTGAAAAAAAATACAAATTAGACTGACCACAGCAGTCTCTGTTTTGGTATTTTACAAACAAGGATAGATATCTTCTGTATTTTTCAAATATCACAGAGGCTTAGTTTATATTTCTAAAGACTATGATTTGGTTTAGGCTTGAGACAGGGCACAGAACATTTCCTCCACAGAAATAAATTACTGCCAAAAAGTAGATCTTAGCACAGAAATCAATAAAGCCTATGTTAGCCTATGGAATTTCTGGTAAAGACTTCTGTTATCTCTGACACACCTATAATACTCTTCTCTTTCCTTCTTACACCGTTTCCCCAGAGCATTTAGTCACAATATACAGGACGCAATATTAAATTTAAAAAAAAAATCCACGTGGGTACAGAGTCGGTGAAAGAGAATTTGCAAGTGTCTGAGCCTTCACTGGACTACAGTACTCTGAATCAAATTTGTTCATTTCGGACAAAAGGTTCAAACATTTCAAAAGGGGAAAGAGGAGAATTAGACATTCAAAGACGCAGAGCAAGCAGCTGTGTAATATGTATTTTGATGGGAAACAAGCAAAAAGTATAATAAAGTGAATCTCAGGAGTTCAAAAAGCAGGCACAACATATTTGAAGCTCTTGTCATCAAAGCAGTACTAGAACTAACCACTCATGGGACAGAGGAAAAAGTTTTACAGCATTTAATGGTATGAAATAAGTGAAACTTTGGGGCAGAGGAGCCAAAATGAAAAGTTTATTTTCACTTACTCAGGAGCTTAAGTTCTAGCTGATCAAGGTCAGGGGTCACAGGGGAAGGTAAGAAAAAGGAGATGAGAGACCTGCCATTTTTTTTGCAATGTGAACTTTACTCTGGAGACTTAGCTAAACTCTTCTATCAGATTATTTCTTATTCTGCTCTGCAATATTATTAGAAATTGCATGATGTAGCCAAAGAGAGTATGTTTAGAAAAGACATCTGGAGAATTACATAAAAGCATCTTTTTACACTTCCTAAAGGCTGGGAAATACTGTAATACTTTCGGACTAATCATCTGGAACATTGAAACAAGCATGGCTGATTGTTTCATAAGCCACAAGGCAGTAAGATTTCATCTTATTTTGTATCAATGTCTACACTGGCAGCAATCAAATTCCTGTGTCAGTCAGATGATTTTGTTTAAGCTTTCAGTAGTTCTTATTAATCAGCTTGCCTGCATGCTTGAAATGATCGCTACAAACAGCACCTGTCTTGGCAGGTCAGTGGAGAACTTTGGAGCCTCAAGACCAAAAGAGTTTCCTCTGTCTCTTTAACCTGCCCCTCAACAGAGAATACACCACCCCCTTATCAATAACAGCAGCTTGTTCCATTATCAGAAGAGCTGCAAACTGAGATCTGCTCTTTCATCCAACTGAATTCTCAGTGGTGACAATTGCACTGCTGTGCTACAGTGCTTGTGATGATTACAAGATGTCTACCTCCACAAGCTTCATCATAGGCACAGGATTGAAGAAATGGAGACCACCAAATCGGTCCTGCCTCGTGGTTGAGTTAGCCAACTGTGTGATTTGCAAGGATGAAGTGTTGCTTGCAAATATTGTATGCCTGGAAAAAAAGAAACATATGGATTGTGTAAATGATGACTATTTTCCTGTCAGCAGGAGACTGGTGCACTAAACGTAAGTAGACATCCATTGGCCAACCATGCACAGGATTCTCAGAAATATCCCTGCAAATTATCATCATTCTTTTTCTGATATATAAATAAGAGCAATGATGAAATAACCACTGGAAGGGGTGCATGAGTTTCTGACTTCTGAGTAAGCATGTTGAATATTGGTATTAGGTGATGGGAAAAAAAAAAACTGAGTAGAAAACTTTTAGCTCCCCAAATCTATTCCACTTAATTCCTAAGCAAAACTGGAAACCTAAGGGTATTTTTTTATTGTGAATCATTTACACATCTATGGAAGCCCAATGATTTGCCATGTCAAAAATGCACTTTCGAGCTTTAAGAAAAATTTTGATTCTTTTTTTTCTATAATAATCACTGGCAGATGTGATAAGCAAACCTACCACCAGAGCAAAGAGCTGATGGAAAACAAAAACAGAGAAAAGGTAAAACCTGCTATGCACAGGTCACTGCAAAGGATACACTAAATCACAAGAATCTGAAGACATATGAAGTCCTTTTACAGATTAAAAATATCAAGATTTCTATTTTTATTATATTTTCTCAGTTTTTGAGCATGTATTACAGAGAAGGAAATAAAAAAAAATCCTGAAAATTCCTATTTACACTTCTTACAAATATTCTTTTGTTACTGTTCCACCGTAAATTAAGCCTTACATTGTTCTGAGTTGGGGGTACTAAAAAGAGTATTATACACCTCATAGTTTCGGCCTCTGAAGATCAATGCATCCAAAAGACACTTATCTTCACTAAAAACCTGCCACTGTACACGAAAAATTCAAATAGTCATGTAAAAATTCAGCACGTTGATTTGTTTATATCTGGATTCACTTAAAATAATTGTCTCAGCATCACTTCTGAGGGTGAATACTGTAGCCTCACATAACAAAAAGCCTTGGGGAAAAAAAGCATTAGATTTGTATTGTGTGCAAGGACATTTTATTTACACTTTCTGCTTTGACCATCCAATTGATTCAAATTGACTTTAAAATAGAATTTACATGCCTCTGTGACTTAGAACCACACAATCCATGCTTGAGGTCACAGCAGAGCTGGAATGCATTTGAAAGCAATGGCACTAGTGAAGCCCCAGTGACGCTTTCCCAGGCACCAGTATGCTTTCTCTTGGTGACATCTAGTGGGTCAGGGGACAGCATTAAAAACAGAATCACACACGAGAAATGCACCATTTCAATAAAACCTACCCTTACAGCCCAGCGGTTACACAGTTGTAGCGGGAACACTGAACACTTCTTTTGCAACACTTATAGAACACTGATTTTTAACACAATGAACAGCTGAAAATCATTGTCAGTACCTAGCTGAGTTTCTATGTCTACAAATAAATCCTAGACTGAGAGATGTTGATGGGTATTCCCACCACTCAGAAAGCAGGTAGAGAAGAACTCTTGAAGTGGATACCCCAAAATTCTTTTGTCATGTTCATTACGATCCTGTTTGGAAAAGGGCTGTAGTGTTTAAATGCCTAAAGGCCACAAAGAATGTGGGGATATTCTACAAAAAACCTAGTCTGACCTTTTCAAAATGGAAAGGTGAGACTGACTAAATTCAAAAAGAAAACAAAACCAAAGAGTGGGCAACCATGCTGTATCGCCTGCTCTGAAGATGCTGACCATGTAACTCAGGAACAATTACCATGCGGGAGGATGAGTGTAACATTGAGAGGAATATAACATACACAAGCAATACGGCAAAGCTCCAGAAACATAAACCAGCACGCTCTCAGACTGATGGCATCCAAGAAACAGCACACACCACTCCACCTGGACAGTTACCCCTTTCTTTATCCTCCATGTTAAGGTGCCTGTATGCTTATCACCATTTCCAATTTTCCCCTTAAAAGGGAAGGCTTCTTGTCTAATGTCATTTTTGCCAACCCTGCAAAATCATGCCTTTTGCCACAGGAAGAAGCATGAATCTGAACATCTCCCAGTACCTTTTAACACTCTTATAACGTAAAATTTGATGTTGCAAGGCAGCTATGCTTGCTGAGCTGAGCTATGCTCAGTCTTACAAAAAAAAAAAATAGCTCCAGATGTTCGAAATAAACATATTACTAAAGGAGGCTCCAAGTCCCTGTGCCCACTTCCTTGCTGACTGGTTTTAGACAGTTTACCATTTAGTACACTCTGATTTGCTCATCAGCTTTCTCTGCTGCATATGAACAAAGACTGTGGTCTGTTTTCTCAAAATAAGCACAATCTATCATGACAAGGTACAATGATAATTGATGAAGGCAGCTACTTAGGTCTGTCTGCCAGATCAAGGGTAATGGCAAATTACCCTGTGCTCAGTGCCCAACTGTTTGTGATCCTTTATTGTTTTCAGAAGTACCAGGTCATTTAGATAACTAACAATATGAGACAGCCTAAAAATCCCCCCAGGCTGATGTCAACTTAATGGTAATATATTTAAGGTGCAACCTGCCTAGTTCTTTAGTCTAAAATGCCTCTAGCCTATACACCCCCCCCCCCCCCCATTCAGCTGTACGGGTTAAAACCTCCACCTGTGAGCAGTCAAGGTCTTGTGATCCTGAGTCATCTGTTACAAGGATCAGCTTTTGCATACTCAGCTTAACAGCATTTTGGGTTTGGAGACAATACAACAGTAACTTCCAGCAGTTATCACCTATAGTTCAAAGAAAGTTCCAGAGGCTGTAAGTAACTGAACAAGTGCATGCTAAGAAGTTATTTACACTTTTACCTCAAACACAAGAGCAATGAGCTATTTACAAACTCTTGTAATACGGAGTAAACTTAAGCCACTGCTGAGCTGACTGTATGGGTAAGAGGCTGAGATTTCTTGAAACCTGCTCCTGCAGGCATACTGAAAGCAAGTACCTTATCATCCCAACTTCCTATTTAAATATGGGATTTAACTATACCCCATATGTACCAGGACAAGCTTATTCTACTGTTGTGTATTTGTGTTTGGATTTAGATTTGAACTTGTGAGTTAGACGGACAAGCTTTATGACTAAACATACCTGCAACCACATCAAAGGAAGCAATGCAACAAGTAAATGAACTGAAAGCAGCTGAAAGCATTTGTAACATATGCACCTGGCATAACTGTTCCATATCACATGACAATCTGAAGTTAGTCTATGGGAGAAAAACTCCTGCTATAAAAAAAAAGCAGCTAAGAAAATGGAGAACTAACAGTGTAAGATTAAAAATAGGAGATACAAAGGTCTAAGTTTCAAAATGTAACAGGAAAAGTACACATACTCTGGAGCAAACTTATCCAGTTGCTTGAAGAGTTCATTTTTAATTTCCTGGTTCTCGACAATAGCTTCTATCACCAAATCCGTGCTGTGGACCACTGCTACTGCATCTGTGCTTGTTGTGAGGTTCTTTAAGGTCTTCTCAATGAACTCAGCACCAGCCTGAAACATTTCCAGGAAGTTGGAATGTTTGGTTACAATTATTTCACTTATTTTCACGTGAAAACCCCCTTATATGCTCTGAAGTTTTTTTGAGCCCTGAAAACTTGAGGCAGTCTGCCACATTTCCAAATCAGTGAGAAAGTTCTGTACAGATTCGATGCTTTCACTGACAAAATTTTCCTAGCCAATCAAATTTCCTAGCAATCAAATTGCTTTGAAGCAAATAAGAGACGTTTGAATTCACTCTTTTAGGAAGACTATTTGCTGCAGTCCAGCCTTCAACATAAGAGTTTGAATTAACAACTGGTTGGTCAATCAGCAGTTTCTAAGACAACCTGGACTTACCCTCCGTAAAGAGGAGTTCTTCCAGTTTCAAACTTTTGCATTGCTTTCATTCAGTGATTATCTGGTTTCACTCCTATGAACAGATTATGCACTAGTTCATGAACACTCCACGAAAAGACCTACATTCACTACAATTTCAGTGCAAATGTGGGGAAAAATAATCTGTTTTCTGACCAGTAAATCTGCCGATCACTGACATGTTTGAGGACAGAAATAAAAAAAAAAATGCAATTTATGCAATTAAGTATATACCATTACAAGGAGTTTCAAGACTTTGAGCAAAGAGTAAATGGAGACACAGTGCAATTAAAAAACATACCTGCACTCTAAAATATAATGTCATATATAAAATGCAAGAATTATGTGGACAATTTTATTTTGGATTAAAAGACTCTGCATAATTATGTATGTATGCTCTGGCTATCCTAATATTACTATAATTTTTCTTCTGTAGTTCCTCATGCAAACCAGCCCTTTTAAAGTTCCTTTGTCTGCTGCATCATTCATGCTGGTAATCATCAATGCCAGTATATAATATATATGTTAATATGTATCAAAGGAAGAACTGGATATGTTGTGGAATTTAGAGAAGCAAGCACGGCAACAAATAACCTTTACGATATAAATACAGATGCACCAACTGCTCCACAGTAACTTACAGTATGTAAATCTTACTCAGTAATGTGCATGCAATGTATCTAATTCATGTTACTCCGGAGCAGTTAAACTTGCACTATCATTTACTTTGTAGTAATCCTGTATCCAAGTCTTGGGGCACAGAAGAAAGTCTCCTTACTAACATATTAAAACACTTTTGTTACTATTCACTGTTGGACAAATTGGTACATCCCCCAGGTAAGTACTCAAAGGTATCTTGCCATTAAATTAGGATTACTAATTTGGCACCATTTCCCATTTAGCATCTATTACAAAGGTCACCAAGTTGTTATAAATCTTTATCTCAAGGCTGAAGTCTACAAAAGAGAAAAAGGTAAGACATCTTTCCATCTCCTTGAATCAGAAACAGAAAGCCCAAGTTCTTCAGCACACTGAAAATAGCTTTCTTTTTAAGCCAGTATGTTAACATGCTCTATAATGCATAACTGCAAAAAATCTCAGAACTTCAGTATGGTAGCTTTTATTCTTCTAAGTTTTCCCAGAGGAATAAAGAAGACAATGTCAACCTCAGGCTTATCTGCAAACTTCTTCTTTGTCACTCTCTTCAAACTCTCTTCAATTCCTTTTGTAGACTTCTTAAGGATTTCCTCTGACTGGTCTACTAACACCACAGTGTGACCACTGGCTGCTGCAACCTGAAAGATAAAAGTACCACCAGTATCATAAAACCACCAACCATACTGATTTGTGTTTGGGCAGGCAACATGTTAGACAATGATTTAGGCAAAACAGAGCTAAAGAACACTGAATTAAGACTTAATGCAATTTCAAAAAAAAAAAAGAAAAAAAAAAAAAATAATCACAAAACCCCACACACAGTTGGAGCAGAAGGGAAGAGATAAAGGTCTCAGCTTAGGAAAAAAGCAATCCGAAAGGAAAAAGAAATCCATTTTTCCCCTGCACTGTCTACAGAACAGTACCTGTACCTGGAGGCAGATGAATTCTGCTGCTATGGATAGAAGACAAACAGCTGTCTTGAAAAGAGCAAGTAGCTTAGCTGTGATCCTTGGATCTTGGAAGGAAGAAAGGCTGTGAAGAGCAAAACCTGAATGCTGGCAGGGTGAGCGAGAGGCGTAAGGGATGGCTAACCCTTTGCTCCTGGGTCGGAGTGTAACAACTCTGATGATTAGCCATGAGCATGTCTCAATAACAGGAAAGCAACAGTGGAGCTGGGAGTAGCAGTGAAACGTTTGCCACTCCAGGACTGCAGAGACCTAAGTGGCTTGCAAACACTCCTTACTATGTACTTGGCACAAACACTGGCTCAGCTAAGGCACTACTGCATTGCATTTTGGGTTGGTATTCAATTAATTTCAAACATACAATGTCACTTTCTCACATTGCAACAGCCTATTAAAAATCAGCTGTTCATTATCTGTTACTTCACCGTTCATTAATTTCTGTTTCTCATTAGTTAGCCACAGCCTATCTTTGTCTTCAGAATCCTTGAACTAACAAGTTGTAATACAGCAATTGCGGAAAACAGATTAAAACATGGTTTCACTGGCTGTTTCTGAAGTCACATAACCTAGGTGCTTCCCTCCTGTGACCTTTTACTTTACCATCTAACCCTGCACCTGGAGACTAAAGATTCTCCTGTGCCCACAAGACCTATTCCAACAAGCCTAGCTGAATGAAAAATACAGAGGTATCTCCTGAAGAAAAGCATGGTGCTTTTCTCATCTAAGTTGCCTCAGTAATCCATCAAATAAAGAAATGCCAGACTGCTTCTGGACAGCAGCAGTATAGCTTTAACAACATGTCAGCTTGCAGCTGGACATGTCTTTATCCATCTTTTTTTTTTTTTGTTATTTTATTTTCATGATAGGCATTTCATCAAAACAACCGAATCATAAAAAACCCCAACATTTAAACCAAGCTTGGACTTGCACTCCTAACACTTCATCTGCTGCTGATTATTTGCAATGGTAAAGCAAGACCCTCCACTCTTCAGAAAAAAAAAAATCAATACCAAGTACATTTATAACAGATCCTTCACTGATTATCCACCTACACCACCACCACTGACCAGCTGACAAAAAATCCTAGAAAAATTAACATCTCCCTTTTCCCTTCTTATTCTTACCATATTTACATGGATAAGAAGAAAAATGACAAAGGGTCATATCATCTCCTTGTAATTCACACATGCTCGCTCACTCTACTATGAAATGATCTGAAGAATACTAAGTAACAAAAGAGTGTTGGGGAGTCAATTAATGCTTTTCTCATACAGAAGTGCTTCTGTATCAGAAATTATAAACCCCTGGCTTTCATCCATATATTTTAGCAGAGGTTAGCTTTTCCTGACATTATGAGAAAGAAAATAGAGGGACAACCCCTTACATATTCTAAAAAGGAGGAAAAGCTGTATTAACAGCATATGGAGGAGACCCCACTCAGTGTTTTCATCATCTCTGCTCTGAGATAATTTCAGATTGATAAATTGGAGGCAGATGGTCAGCAAAATCACGCCCGGTCCTTAACAGTGGTAGAAGATTGCGAGCTCTGTTAGAGGCAAATACCAGACATGCGTCCCTGGACAAGCCACTCTCTGAAAATGTTCAGATTACGCAGATGAGTTTACTTTTCCTGCAGAATTATAACCGTTGCATAGCATGCATCTGCCTCAAATCTTTCATCTTTCTCCACAAAGTCTTTCTCCAAAGTTGTTCTTTGATTGTTCCCTCAGTGGAAACCTCATGTTCCAGTATCAAGATACAGAGCAGAAGATTCACCAGACAAGTTAATAAACAACTAGCTAATTCCTTAGCAAAAAAAAAAAGAAAAAGCCCCTGCATTCCTACTGCCAGGAATGTGAGCAATCTTCAGTCCTGAGAAGGAAAACCATTAATTCATTAAAATGGAGAACAACTATCTATGAACTCCAACCTCACTATCTGATTCCACTTGTGGATGCCTTCATCCTCCAGTCATTCTTTGTGAAGTTTGTGAGCTACCCTGGTATCTTGGGCAACAACGTCTTTCTGTGAAGGAGACAAGTATCTAAATCTTAAATCACTGATACGACTGTTCAGTCTTCTGCCCCAAACTATCAAGTTAAAGATGAGCTTTAAAGCCAAAGGCCTGAGATTAAACACTGGGAAAGTAAGTCCTATGTAAATATTAACCATTTCATAACTCTGCAGATGACTGACAGATAAATGTCCATTTTATATGCTGTATTCTACTTTAATAACTTGTAAAACGTCACTTGATCTGTTCCCTTGGCAAGTCAGAAGCTTCCTGGACCAGTATTTTCCAAACAGCCTGGTTTATAAGTAGCCCACATATTGTTTTAAGAACCACCTTAAACAATTTATAGCATTGACCTTGGTTCTTCTTGCCCACCTGTCTGACCTGAAGACATGCGGATTAACAAGAGAACAGAAAGCCTGAAGGTTGAGCAACCGGGCAGCAGGGGTTCAGCAGTACTTTCTACTCCCCCGCAGCAGCAGTAAACCCCAAACTCACACAGGTCTGCCTGGACACGTCCCTCCACACCGCCAGCAGCCCTCATGCTCGTGGTGTGATGAGCACACACTGCCCACGCCGGTTCCCCAGTATGCCTTGCAAAACAGAGGCTGACGGGGTGAGACCCACCACACACTTCACCTGTTTCATGGGCCAGGGTCACAGACAGGTCTTGTTGCTCACACGTACAGCTCTCCAGTGCAAGAGCAGCCACCACTTCTCACACAAACACAGCATAGAATCACAGAATGGTTTGGGCTGGAAGGAACCTTAAGATCCCCGAGTTCCAATCCCCTGCCACGGGCAGGGACACCTTCCACTAGACCAGGTTGCTCAAAGCCCTGTCCAGCCTGGCCTTGAACACTGCCAGGGGCGGAAGCATGAAATGACCTGTAACAAATTCGGGAAAGCGCAATTTTTCTCTCGTTCACTCTAAATACCGCTCCCGCCTCACAACTCGGAGCGGCGCCTCGACCCGTGCAGGTCGCCGGCAAGGCCGGGCCGGCAGCTGGCCCCGGCACGTGACGCCCCGCCGCTCCGTCTCACGGGCACCCCGCTCCCGTCCGGTCCCGGCTACAGCCATACACCCCGGCCTGCTCGGCTCCCTCACCAGAAACCAGGAAACGAAGGGGACGCGGGAGCGCTGGGCGGCTGGAGCCGGGGTTCTCACTGCCCGGGAAAGGGTCCCCGCTGACCGCACAGCGCGTCCTTCGGGTGAGCACAGCGCCAGCGGCGTCCCCGCCTCACCCGGCCATCCCTCAGCGAAGCGCGAGGGTCCTTCCCGCTGCACGCGCCGAGTAACGGCCGCCCTGCAGCCGTCATGGCGCCGCCGCCTCCCCTCACCCCTGTCCCGCCGCCGGGCCGGGCCGGGCCGCGCCGCACTCACCTGGGCGATGCCGGCGCCCATGAGGCCGCCGCCGATGACCGTCACATGCTTGACGATCAGCTTCTTGGCGGCCGCTGTGGCGGCGGCGGAGGAAGCAGCGCGCACGAAGTGGCGGGTGGCGAAGGCCATGGCGACCGCGCGCAGCGGGGATCACTGGGCGAGAGGCGGCAGCGAGGCCGGGGCGGGCGGAGCGAGCGGAGCGCTCCGCCCCGGGGAGCGGTGGCGGTGCTGGCGGCGACGGCCGCCGCCCCGGGCCCGTGTTGAGTCCTTCGCCCCCGCAGCTTGTGGTTGCTGAAGAGGAACCGAGTAGCAGCGCGGAGGTGAGCACCGCAGCTGAAGTCCCTTGCGAGTCCCGGGATGGCGCTTGGGCAGCGGCAGATCTGGGGCAGTCTGCTCCAGTGTCTGTCCTTGCAGCAGAGGTCACTGCACAGCCTGCAAACGGTCACGTTCTGTCGCACTGCTCGTTTTCTCAGCATTAGAAAGCATTATGGAGCACCCATAAGATGAATGTTGCCAGACAAGGAGGAGACTTTATTTTCAGGCTAGCACAAACTATACAGTAAAATTAAAAACTATAATCCTTCCTTTATAAACACCAATGGCTGAAGCACACCAGGTGCAGACCGTCACCGTAGTTTTCCATCTAATTACCAGAAGGACCAGCAATTCCAGTCAGCAGCAGGGGTACTTCATAATCCAGCAATTGCAGCATATTCTACTTGAGTCAGCATCGGGCTAAACATTAAGCAACTTGCTTTCTTCATACAAAAGAAGTGAAGTCTATCGTATCTCTACACTTTATACCAAGAGTGCGATGCAAAAAATCCCCCCTTTCCTCGCTCGCTCTCATCTGACAGCACATTAGTCAGGAGCAGCAAGTGGCCTCTGGAACCACCTTTACCCAAGGACTCAGAGTTATCTTTCCCTGTGTATAAATGACAGCTAAGTGGGTAATTAACGTAATCACCTAAAAGAAATATATAGTACTGTGCCAAGTTACCTGCAACCTACTCCAGGGTGTAAGACACAGGATTTCCACACACAGCTGTGGCTCCAAGCGCTCAGTTCTTGCTACATACCAGCACTTCAGTCACCTCCAGCTCAGCCCTCCCTCCCTCTCTGCACACAAGCATCTTCTGCCTCTCCCTGGGCTCCCTCGAGGCCAGAGGCAATCTGCTCCCCACCCCAAGCTCTCCCTGAGCATCCACTTCCTCCTCTGACCTGCTCTACACTGGGAGTCCAACAAAATCACACTTAACTCTTTCCAACATCGTTTGTCAGACTGTGCATCTCCTCCTGGTGACAGCTCATTTCCCCTTCTATCTTCCTCAGCTCTACTCTTCCCTCTCCTTTTATTCTGAGTAGCAGTGGTTTTGAAATACACTTTTTCTAGCATTTGGACATAACATGCCTGGCATTGTATCATCCCAGTTCCACTTTATTCTCCCACCTTCTCCACTCCTCATCCAAAACATTTCACAACATCCTCTTACTCAAAAGCTTTCTTTTTAAGATGTAAAACACCAAACATCACAAGCTCAAACGACAAGCAGAATTCATTAAAACAACTTATTTGGAAATTACTTTATTAAAAATAAAATTACACTGAAGTTAAGTCTGAAGTCACTTTTAGAAATAAAGACATTTTCAGCATTCAGAAATAGCCATTCACTTATATAAACATACATTTTTTTTTCAACAAGGCATTTGAGATGCTTCCTCTGCCAAAAAAAAGGGAGGGGAAGGATACATTTACAAACACAACCCAAATCTGCTACCACTTTTACTTACAGCTTACCAAAGATGGTAACACACTTTTACAACAACAAATATTTCACTGGTTTTATGCTGTTGTTTAGCTACTCTCATGGCATCCTGTGAAAGTTTCAGTGCATCTGGAAGGCATGAAAGGCTGGTCTTTATTGTCACTCCCAACAGCATCCTGCATTCTGGCAGACATCGACATGGTTGCTCCTTCACATCAGTAGTTTCAGCTTGTTGCACTATGCAGCATTTTGATGATAGGTATCACCAAAATCCACATTCTCAAAGTGCTACTTGTAGAAGGATAATTTTGAAAGGATAGTTTTCAAAGGCGACATTTTAAACTAAATCCAGCAGGCAAAACAAGCACAATCATGTACAATTCCACACCTAGGGGATTATGGGCATTGTGCCTTCTTTGGAATCTGTAAAAAAAACTAAAGTGCTTTTCAAATGTGTCCTCATTGATTAAAAGGACATGTATTTTACATGAGCGATCAGTTGCACACATCATCATGTGGCTGAAAGACGCATTTCAACAGAAAGATAAATATTATTAGCACACACTTTTAGCTTCGCAATTAAGCATACACCATTTCAAGGACTTCCAGACAAAAATCCCAACTGTACAAAATCTATTTATCCATTGAAAAATAGAAAGTTAAAGAAATAAGTGCTTATTACTCCAATACTGTCAGTGCTTAGTGCAAAACTAGCATTGGCACAAACCTCAACTTTTACCATGCTACGTATGACATTTTTGAAAACCCCAAAGAAAAAGTTTTAACATGAGCAAGGGCTAACCTCTAAAGTCGTAAGTTAGCCTATATATGAACTGGAAGTTGTCACACAAATAGTGGGGTACCTGACCAACCAAACACATAATCCAGAAATTAAGACACTATGTTATTCAAAACACATAACAGAAAACATTAATTTAAATCCAAAATAACTACGTTACAGTTTTTGCTAGGCACTACCTGGCTTTTAAAACTTCCAAGTTAAAAAGTGACAAAACCAGAGGTTAACTTAAAGCTGAAGAGTCAATTCTTCCTTTACAATTTAGACTTAATTTCTGCTATGCAATTCCCAATTCCATTTTACATTTCAGTCTTGTAAACTTGACATTAGAAGGACAGCAGATATTTTCTAGATCTTCAATGAGGGGTGGAAAAAATATGTATCTCCTTAAAAGAATACTTACATACTTACTTCATGTCATATGAAGTACTGCTAGATAAAAAGGTGTATATAAAGTGATCTAAAGATGATGAAGAACAATTATTTAAAGGTTATTTGTCACATGTCCCTCAAAAGATTGCTTTCAATGTTTGAAAAAATCTTTCAAATAAAAGACTGAGTGCCCCCTTGTGAAACACCTAGCAGTAGGTTTCCTTGGTAATTGGTTTGAGAGTGGTGAACAGAACTAGAATTTTGCATGTGAAAAGAGTAAGGTGCTGATACAGTAATACCGTATGAACTACAGATCTTTCTACTCCATACGAAAGATAAAGTCTTTATACTCGAATGTCAAGTTTGTCAGATTCCTCCTGTTCTATGCCTAAAAGTGCAAGATCCACATGTGCAGTGCCATATTAATGCCATATTTGAAGTAAAACTCCAGTTCCCAAAGCCAAACAGGTTGTGACAGTACTGTCCACACTGCCTGTAAGTGAAAAAAACAAGTGCAAGCCCCAGCGTCAGGATTATGCATGTATAGTTTTCCCTAATGAATGGGCTGTTGGTCTCATCCACACTGCAACCACTGTTGATGTGGGGAAAACCACAAATGCGAAGTGGCAGCACAGATGTCTGGAATACCTGCTTGGCATCAGAGAGTACAGACTTCTGCTGTTTCTTGTTAGAGAAATCTGCTCTCATTTATATTCTGAGAGAGAACATCTGCATCCAGATGCTCCACACTGCTTTCATGTTAAGAACATGGTATATTCAAGGATTCATTAGTCCTCCAAGCCTGAGTTTTCAGAGTTGATACCTGCTTGTTTATAGTAAGCACTGATAGCCAAGAATGTTTGGATCCAGGAATCCACACTGATTAGATCCAGTCTAAACCTGTGAGTTACTTGTAAGAAGTAACCTCCAAGGTTAAAAGAAGTGTCATTTAGTAATTTCCAAAAACAATTTGCTATTAGTTAAGCTCAGTTACAATGTTTCTTTACACAGAAAATGCTAATACCCTCTCACTCGTTAATCCTTTTGGTATCAGATGATGTCCTTCACTCATTTGGTAAAATAAATGTTTACATACTGTTTTTACCAAAATAAAAATTGCTATTTTCTAAAACATCAATACATGTTTTGGACCATTCTCCCATAATTAACGTTTGACAAACTGACAGTAAGAGCTTATAGACAGAGGGGTTAAGCCCAGTTAGTTTTAATATCAAATTGCAAACTATGCCGTTGTTTGTTTGTGGAATGCAACAGCAGCCAAAAAAAATTCTTCTCTTTCCAGAAGTGCAAATGGATCATTCTCACTGACTATGAAAGCCTATGCAGTTGGTGTTTTTCTGGGAAGAAAGTAAGAAAACAAGCTGGAAACAAAATAAAGCTGGATTTTAAAAGTGCAGTATTTCTTTGTGTAATCTTTTTTGATGTATCATTTCTTCAAAGCTATTATGTTGAATGGGCATGGAGCTAAAGTTAGACCAAACCTTCCATCCATAGATGGCTTTGCAGCATTTTCAGGGTACAAAAATGTAAAGCTTTGCATTAGACTTGCAAAAATTAAGAACAGCTCCATTTTTGCCAACTGCTCTCCCATGCACACACGTTTACCTAAAGAACAGTTAGAAGAGACATATTACTGGTCTTATACTGTTGATCCATTTGTTAACATGCATGCAATTCCTATGCTAGCATAGTCCAAACACAAAAAAGCTCAAACAACAGCTTTGGTCTCCCATATTTGAATATAAGCCTTGCTCAGCTGTACTGCTTCATATTAGCAGCAAAAGTATTATCAAGGGAGAAGTCATCATTTCTCATTTCTGCCTGGCAACTGGAGACTTGAGGAACCCAACCCATCCTGCAAGCCTCTAACTAATAGTAGAACAAGTTCTGCAACTGGTCCTATGCACAGCTTTTACATCTCACGCCTCCAAGGCCCTACACTTGAAACACCACCACCTCCCCAAACAGCTACTGACTGGATGTGGATATCTTACCCATTCCAAAAGGAATGAAAGCCTCTTTCTTAATTAGTTGGCCATTTTCATCCAGAAATCTTGATGGTTGAAATTCATCTGGTTTCTCCCAAATGTTAGGATCTCTGTGTACTGACCACAAGTTGGGCACGATCACACTGCCCTTAGGAATAGTATATCCCTGCAGCACTTTAAACAAAAGCACAGAGACAGAGGATCTGACAAGATGCTAGAAGTAAAC